TGTGGCAAGGTTAGTTTTAGGGTCGATATTTTGTTGTACTTTTCACTAAATCAATGAAAATTATTTTCTTATTTCTAATAAAAATAGAGTTGCAGGTATTTTCAACCTCAGGAGGGGGAGGCCATGGTTTTTTTATACGGAACAATTTCATTGAAAGTACGGAATTACGGAGGAAAAGATCCCCGGCCCAAGGGAAAGATGGAAGATCCAATATTTCAAATAATGAAAAGCACAGTTCACATATTTATAAACAATGATCTTCCATTCAATATATCTTATTTAGGCTTCCCAACTTGATAAACTTGAGGAATTATGAGTTCTTAAAAAACATATAATTTCCAGTTTATCAAGATATGCTAGCACATAAAATGCACATGATGGGCTGTAGAATATTAGCACAGCACTCTAAAATTAACGCATGTGATGAAGCTCACAGAATTATAGATACAGCAGTCCCAAACTCTAGCATTGTGGCCAAACAGAACAATAACGTCCTCAGGTTTATCTGCCTCACTCCTTTTTGCATTAATCCTCCAAATGCGAGCACTGAAGTTAAACCCAAAAAAAAGAACAATAATATGAATTAGGATATCATTCGTGAAGATCAGAACAAGAGAAAATCAAGAAACAAATTCACCTACGATCATCAGAAACAGAAACCAGTTTGGATCCATCAGAGGACCAAGTAATGCGAAAGATCGAACCCTCGTGTCCCACAAGCCTACTAATATGCATAGCCTCATATTTCAAATGGTCAAATTGAATGTCATTACTCTTTTCATCACAATCTTTCAGAGTACCTTCTGAAGGAACCACTTCCCAAACAATTATCTGCAAAAAGTGAAAACTGCTTAAACGCTAGAATTTGAAATGGAACCAACAATGACAGGTAGTCATAGAGGTGGAAATCAAGTAGAGCAGTAGCCAACAGCTTTGTCGCACCTAAGTTATAGATGGCGAGGGGACGCTCAATATTCAAAATCTCAAAAAATTGAAATTAAATAGGCACGGATTCTGAATTTAAAAAGTAGTATTCATGAGTTTCAATGAAAACAAAGATCTGTTACCTCGTTAAAGATAGTACCAGATGCAACTCGAAGAGTTTCAATGGCATCACCCCACAACCGCATTGAGTACAAGAGGCAACTCTCTGATATACATATATACAAAGCAGAGTCAGAAGCAGAAAACTTCAAAAGGAACCAAGACAAAAAGTTAACATCGGAATCTCCAAATTAAGGGAAAAAACACAGAAAGAAAGATGAATTTATTTGAACATTCCCAATGCAGAATCATCTTGATCAAATTAGCATCGAGCTCTAACCTGGTGATTTAACTTCAAGAATCATTCTAGATTCACAAGTATCCCAAACATGAACAGAGTTATCACTGCATCCAATGGCTATATAGCCGCAGCTATCACTACCTGCCGAGGAAGAAGAGTCACGGCTCTACTCCCGATGACAATTTAAAAGTTAATACTAGTTAAGCCACTGAAACAAATGATTCTGAACTGAACTGATACCTTCAAGAAGCAAGCATCCAAGACCCAATGATTGAACCTCGGCAAAGAACATAACGGAACCAAATCGACACAAACTTCAGCAACCATTTCAACGCTAACACGATATAACTTAACTCGTTTTTCACCGAAAACAACTAGTACGAAATCAAGCTTGGTACAAGACGATGCTCCACTGAAATTCAAAGAGATTGATGAAATCCCATGAACGCGAATCCCTTCAAATACTCGAAACGATTCTATCGTATTTCCAGATTCCAAGTTATACGCCAGCACCTCCGAACCCGAGCCTGTGTGTTTTCCATCAGTATAATGGAGGTACATAGCAGTCGCTTATGAATTCGATGAAGATTGGAATAATGCAACATTGACACAAAGAGAAAGAGTAAGCAGTACCTGCGAGGAGAATTGGAAGAGAGGAGATTTGAGGAGGTAAATGGAGAAAGCATAGAGCTGAGATTTCTCCAAGGTATTGTCCGCTATGCAAATGCCACTCGGTCTGCTCTTCCTCCACCGCCATGGCAGCTACGTCTTGCGGCTGTTACTGTCAGATATTGAGATTCCGGTAGGATTCGTCACAGCTGAATCGGTCGGAAAGTACGGCGATTTTCAGCCGGAATATTTGAGCTTGAAGCTATATATATGAGAATTAAGGAAAATAGTGGGGAACCGGGAAGGGTAAACCTAAAAATTGGAGGTAAAAATTACTCAAAACACGATAATTGACACGTGCTCGTAAAACTTAGACTGAAAAAAAAAAAAAAAAAACTCTGGAGATGCGGGGTATCGAACCCCGTACCTCTCGCATGCAAAGCGAGCGCTCTACCGTTTGAGCTACATCCCCATTTGTTGTAAACATGTATATTAATTTTTTAATATAGTTTAGTAGTAAACGAAAAAAGAATTTTGAGTTAATAATCCAATTTTAAGGATATTTTAGGTTTCATTCCCTCTTAATCTATTTATCTTTAAATTTATTTTCGATAAAATTAAAATGTTGTCTATTAATTAATTTTTAATCATTGACATTAAAATCTTCGCCAAATAGAAGCGGAACGAGAAAACACCAAAACACTACATGAAAACAGAATAAAAAGACACTAAAACACTACATGAATCTCGTGTCATAAGCTTTTGTATATATATATATATATAGCCCCAAAAAAATTATGAAATTTAGTTAAAAAGAGATGTACAATTGAATAGTGTTTAAACTTGGACCTTTTCATTTTTGTTCACCTAAATTGCTATTGGAAATGACAAATGACGATTTTAGACATGTTCTAATGGTTGTGTCGGGTTGAAACAATTTCACGTTTTTTTTTTTCAAATTAAGCAAATATCGATTTTTTCTTCTATGATTCACGTTCGCTAAAACATTATTATTATTATTTAATGAAAATTAATATTTAAAAAATGTGAATTTTAATATATTATCATTAATATTTTTTCAAAAAGTCCTGTGCTTTCAAAAAATAATAATTTTATACCAGACAAATAAAAATTCCAATTAAATGTAAGCTCTAAAATGTTTCGGTCTAAGTCATCTAATTAATTCAAACCTAAAATTCATTCCATCTTAAAATACGAATTCAACGAAACAAACAAACTAATCAAAGCCAAACGAAGGAATAATAGCATCTAAAAAGGAATTAAAAAAATGTGCCTTTTTCCAAACGTCATAAAATTAATTAGCCTCAAAATTAGATAGCCAATCAACGCACCCCTTCAAAGAGACTGAACAAGAAGAAAAATAAAAAATTATATATTAAAAAATATGATTTTGATCCCTTAATAAAATTTAAATTATTTCATATTTATTTTAAAAATATTATGCTCTCAAGTTTAATTTTAATTACGTTCTTACCCTTTAAATTTTGTTCCTAAATTTTAAATTTTTATTTAATAAAATACGTCCTTTTAAGTAATTCTATGTTGAATAAAATTATTATTCTAATAATATATTTGAACACCAAAAATAATTGAAAATAAATAAATTTGGTTGATTTTATTTTTATTCTCAATATTTTAATTGTGTCAATGTTCAAATGTAATTTAATTATTTTATTTTAATAATTTGAAAAGATTCATTTGTTATTATAATAATAATGTTCATGAATCTTATTAGCCGATAATGAGACAACATTTTATTAAATTAAACACTTAAAAACAAAAATTATGTTACTATTCTTAATTTAGTTTTTTAATTTAAAATTAAAATTTTATTTTATCTTAAAAATTAAAATTAAATATAATAAAACTTTAAAACATTTTAAAGCTGAAGAAATGTTATAATAAAAGCAATAAATATATTATATAAATTTATTTATATAAAAGGGAAGAAATGTTATAATAAAAGCAAAGACAAAAGAGTTGTTTTGAAAAATATTAAAATAATTATAAGAATTCAAAACTAAAATAATTTTCCGACCAAAGGATTAAACATATGTCGAGGACAGACAAGCGATATTACTAAAATAGCCCCGACAATAATAATAATAATAATTTTTTAAAAAAGTAGGTCAAATAAAAAATTGTGAAATGTAAGTTTCGTATGTTATTAATTTATTTTAAGTAAAAGAATAAAAAAATAAATTATAGGTTTTAATTATTGCACCCACAAACTAATTGAACATGGTGGTTTAATGGAAAATATTTAATTAATTTAAGATATATAAATTTCCAGCTTTTTTTTTTAAATTTTAAATAAAGGTTAAATTAAATCTTATAATTTTAGATATTAAAAATAGTCCATGACCATTATTTATCAAAATATTTATACGAATTAAATTTATAATATAGTTTAGAAATAAAATTACCACTTTTAGATTTTAATTCAATTCTCTATTTTTTTAAATATTAAATAAAATGATAAAATTCACAGCCCTCACAAAAATCTTTAAATATTTGGAAGTCAGACAAAGAGTGAGATTGATAATTTGTGATCGATCTGAAAAACCACAGTCAGATACGATTCTGCTTCCCCTTCGCATTACGAGATTCTTGTCGGGCTTTTTTTTCGACTGATGAAAATGAGAGTCACTCTGGAATTCATTGAGAATGGACGTTTTCAGATTGAATCTAAAAGATCTCCAACAGTTAAGAGAGGGTCTTTTGACGGTCGTCTCTAGCTTAGCTTGCTTTAGCAGCCACGTGACTAACCATTTAACAGTGTGGTAGAGAATTAATATTGGGGAAGGGGGAGGGGTAAAATGGTAATTTGGGAAATGGAGAAGGGGGGAGGGGTAAAATGGTAATTTGGGAATTGGAAAAGAATGAAGAAGAAGGAAGAGTGGAAAAGTGGGGACAGGGGAGGTTTGAATGGTCAAAAAGGAAGAGACTGTGGAAAGAATAGAAGAAAAGTTAAAAACCAAAAAAGAAGCAGAGGAAGAAGAAGAAGAAGAACAAGAAGACGACGACGATGATGATGTTCATTAATTAATTCGTTAAGAAATATGTATAAAAATGGGAGCTTTGAATTCAGCTCTGTCGTTTCGTTGACTGTCAAACAAGCCTAAAAAGCCAAACCCAACACCATTATCCACCCAACTCACAATCACATTTAATTTAACAAATCCCTTCTTAAACCATTTCTCTCTCCATCCCCCCCCTTTAATTACAAAACCCCCATTTCTATACCCAAATTTCACAAGATTCCACCGTCTTCTTCGTTTCTAAGAACACCCACTTCCACAAATCCTCTTGTTTCGAGTTCATCGGTAAAGGGTTCCTTCTATTTTGCTTCTTCTTTCATGGGTTTTCTTCTTTTTGAGGTTTCTTTCGATGTTTCTTATTAGGGTTTGTTTGATCTCTGCATGTTCTTTATTTCCTCTGTTCTGACGTTTATGGAATCTGTTCTCTTTCTACTGGGTGTTCCTCGATTTAGGTTTTCTTTTCCGATTTCATGTCTCATGATCCATCGGAGACGGTGGAGCTGCCGCTGATGGCGGCGGTTTTCCAGATTCCCGTCATGGCCGATGAACATCTAAATCGGGTTTAAGCTAGTTTTTGTTGTTCTGTCTCATTTTTACTTTTAGGGTTTTGATTAGATGTAGAAAACTTTAGGTAACAACTTCTTTACTGATTTGATGCTCTTCTCAAGCCTTGATGGTAATTTTCTGCTGTTTAATCTGTGGAATAACCTGTTCTTTCAGGAGGGTTGAAGATAAATCCCCTGTTTCATGAATGAAAATTCTTGTTCTTCTTCTTACTGCTTTTCCAACTATTGCAGGTTACTTTTTTAGATAAGCAATTAGATTCGGAGTTACGACGTGACGTTGTAAGGATATTGCTGCATATATATTGTAGCGAATGGCATCCGTAAGCGTCGTTCCGGCTCCTGTGATAAGAGACCGTGGTGGAAGTACAATTGGTGTTGACAGGTTGCCTGATGAGATGAATGATATGAAGCTTAGGGATGATAAGGTAACTGGCGCGAGTTTAATGTACGTTGATCTTTTCGAAGTTTGAACGATACAGTTTTTCTGATATATATTTGGATTCATAGGAAATCGAAGCGACTGTTGTTGATGGAAACGGTACTGAAACAGGGCATATAATTGTAACGACCATTGGTGGAAAGAATGGCCAACCGAAACAGGTGAATATCCTGAGACTTGCTCTTGAGACTATCGTAATTTAACTTCCTTACTGACTCGTTTTCGTTTTGAACTTGTTGTAGACTATCAGTTACATGGCTGAGCGTGCGGTAGGACATGGTTCTTTTGGAGTTGTATTTCAGGTATGTTGTTCACTGCTTACAATCGTTAGGTTATGTTAAGAAACACGATATATTATCAACTTTGTTCTGTAGGCAAAATGTTTAGAAACGGGTGAAACGGTTGCGATTAAGAAGGTTCTTCAGGACAAGAGGTACAAGAATAGGGAACTGCAGACCATGCGTCTTCTAGACCATCCAAATGTTGTGTCCTTGAAGCACTGTTTCTTCTCGACGACTGAGAAGGACGAGCTTTATCTCAATCTTGTTCTTGAGTATGTTCCAGAGACCGTTCATCGAGTGATCAAACATTATAACAAGATGAATCAAAGGATGCCGTTGATATACGTGAAACTCTATTTTTATCAGGTTTTTTGCCATACAATCTTCTTTTTTGTATTATTTCTAGCTGTGAGATCCGAGGGGACGAAGCATTCCTTATAAGGGTGTGGAAACCTCTCCTTAGTAGACGCGTTTTAAAAACCTTGAGGAAAAGCCCTAAAGGGAAACCTCAAAGAGGACAATATCTGCTAGCAGTGGGCTTGAGTTGTTACGAATGATGTCAGAGGCCGACACTAGACAGTGTGCTATCGAGGACGCTGGGCCCCGTGGGGGTGGATTGTGAGATCCCACATCGGTTAGAGAGGGGACGAAACATTCCTTATAGGGTGTGGAAACCTCTCTCTAATAGACGCGTTTTAAAAACCTTGAGGAAAAGCCCGAAAGGGAAAACTCAAAGAGGACAATATCTGCTAGCAATTGGTTTGAGCTGTTACAAATGATATCAGAAGCAGACACTGAACGGTGTGCTACCGAGGACGCGGGGCCCCAAGGGGTGGATTGTGAGGTCTCACATCGGTTAGAGAGGGGACGAAACATTCCTTATAAGGGTGTGAAAACCTCTCCCTAGTAGACGCATTTTAAAAACCTCGAGGAAAAGCCCGAAAAGGGGACAATATTTGCTAGCGGTGGGCTTGGGACCTCGACCCTTATTGGAAACATCTTTCTTTGCTTCTTTAACATTCTTTTTATCTTTTCTCTCTCTCGTTTCTATGCAGATTTGCAGATCTCTTTCGTACATTCATAATAGTATTGGAGTATGCCACAGAGACATAAAACCTCAAAACTTACTGGTTCGTGTTCATTCGGTCTCTAGTGTTGATTATATTTTGAATCTTCGATGGATAGCTTGTTTTACGAAGCCTCGTTACTATTGTCTTCTGCTGATTGTTCTCGCTTCCTCGTTTCGACAGGTTAATCCACACACCCACCAACTCAAACTCTGCGACTTCGGCAGTGCGAAAGTCTTGGTACGTTTCTTTTGTGTTCTGGAATTTGTTCGATGAGTTTTGTGATACGCTCCTGACATCAAGACCAATTTACTTACATCTGGCAGGTTAGAGGCGAACCGAATATAGCCTACATCTGTTCTAGGTACTATCGAGCACCTGAACTTATATTTGGTGCGACCGAGTACACCACAGCCATCGACATCTGGTCAGCTGGTTGTGTTCTAGCTGAACTACTTCTCGGACAGGTTTGTATAATCTCTCACGTGATTGCTGTATAACTATTGTTATTAGAAACGATTCTAAGGCGTGTTCCGGTGCGTTTTCAGCCGCTATTTCCTGGTGAAAGCGGAGTCGATCAGCTCGTTGAAATAATCAAGGTATTGTTGCAAACATTTTCTCTCTATTTGCAGTCTTTTTCTGTTTTAAATCTCATTTCAAGTGTTAATTTGTCAAATTCTTGCAGGTTCTGGGAACCCCAACCAGAGAGGAAATTAAGTGTATGAACCCTAATTACACTGAATTCAAGTTTCCCCAAATCAAAGCTCATCCATGGCACAAGGTATTTAAAACGCGTCTATATATACATTCACCCTTTTAAACTGTTAACCGTTTTAACGTTGTTTTAACGTCGTATATCTCCATGACATCAGATATTCCATAAGAGAATGCCTCCAGAAGCCGTGGATCTCGTTTCGAGACTACTTCAGTACTCTCCGAACCTTCGAAGCACAGCGGTAAGTCAAAAGACTCCAAAACTTTAACATGAACCCAGATATCCATTTGGTCTCTAACGACTATCTGTTCCATATTAATACAGTTGGAGGCTTTGATTCATCCATTCTTCGATGAACTCCGTGACCCGAACACCCGTCTACCAAACGGACGTTTCCTTCCGCCGTTGTTCAACTTCAAGGCTCATGGTATCTACTAACGACTAAAGAACTCTTCACGAACTGCTTGATGAGAACTACTAATCTATCTGCTGATACTAACTTTAACTTATTTCGATTGTGTTGCCGTTCAGAATTGAAGGGAGTACCGCCCGAGATGCTCGTGAGGCTTATTCCCGAACACGCAAGGAAACACTGCAATTTTCTCGGGTTGTAATGCAGAGACACATAAAAGCCTGTAGAAAGTAGTAGCTAGCATTAAATTACAAAGGGAAGCCCCTATTATTCGTTACTCGAGCCCATGCCCCTATTATTTTTTCATATCGGTAGTCACCCTCGTCATTGTCGTCGTCGTTTTCCCCTGTAGAAATCAGGTTGAGAGAAGGTTCTGCTTGGTATGTTCTTAATACCATGATGGATAACACAACAGCCCTTGATCTGTAGTTGACAAACAGATTGTAATTCCTTGTTGATTATGAACATAACCTTAGAATATGCTAAAGCAATTTTGGCACCGATCAATCACCATTTTGCAGCAAATTTCATACTTTATTTGTGGGTTTTGAAGAACTTCAAGAACTTTGAACTTTTATGCCAAGCAATCCACATTTTATCACTTTTTTTGGAAGATAGAATCGTGACGTCGTTGGAGTAAAGAATCGTCAAAAAAGGATGTTTAGTGTGTTGCAAATTCATATCGAAAACTTACATTGCATCGTTGTAGATTCTTATTCGATACTCGTATTAGAATGTTTCTAGAAATGTGGAAAATGCTTTTGAAGAAGCTTCAATATTTCTCGAATTCTTAAAAGTGTACAAATAATCCGAAACATTTCTTATAAGGGTGTAGAAACCTCTCCCTAACATACACGTTTACCTTGAGGCTGACGTCGATACATAACGGATCAAAGTGGACAATATTTGTTAGCAGTGGGCTTGAGTTGTAACAAATGATATAAAAGCTAGACACCGGGCGTTGTGCAAGCGATGACGACCCATTACTCGTTTTACCAATTCTAACCAATTCAACTACACTCACTTGTGTACTAATCAACCTCGAACCGACCCGTTACCCGTTCAAATCAAGAAAGTAAAATAAAGTAGACGAGAAAGGTGAGTTAGGTGGGAAGAATGTGATGTTATAATTACTTTGGTAGAAGGTCTAAGGTGAATTAAACTTTTGAATATATAAAAAGAAACAAGTATGGTGGGGAGGCAAAAGAGGCAACTTTGGTCCCCTATGCCATATGACTTGTGACACTTTCGGCTTTGCTTCGAAGCTACTTAGGCTTTGAATATTGCTCGTATAGCTTTTATAGAATCCGATGTCGTTAGTATCTGAGCGGCGTGCTCGTTAGAGCCGTGTTTATAAACGAGATTTCTTTTTATTGGTATTGATAGGTTTAAAAATATTTCCAAGTATTTTTCAGTCGAGCTGATGAGCTAAAAACATCTTCAAAGAAGTAAATGCTCGTGTTTTTGGTCTAAACACGATCTTCTTTTGCTACCAATTTTTTAAATAAATTATTTTTCACTGTTTTCGTTCCCAAACACTTTCAATTTCATGTACTCGAGCGTGAATGTTAATTAAAGGAGACTTTTTATATAGTTTTTTTCAACGACTCGTTAACATTTTTTAAACATAAAATATTTTTTTAAAAAAAAGAATAAAAAAACACAAAAAGAATATTTTGTGTGGATTTTTGTTTCTACCACTTGGTCTTGTTTAATGTTTGTTCCTATGCAAGACACGTGATTCAAGTTCCAAAAACTACAAATAATTTAAATATTAAATTTCACATAAAAATGTGTAATAAGGAATGATTCGTTTCCTTCTCTAACTGACGTCTCACAATCCATCTCTCTTGAGGTCCAGCATCCTAATTGACACACTACTCAGTGTCTGGTTCTGATACCATTTGTATCAACTTAAACCTACCACTAGTAGATATTATTCGCTTTAGCCCGGTATATATCGTCGTGAACCTCACAATTCTAAAATGCGTCTACTAAGGTTTTTCATACCCTTATAAAAAATGCTTTGTCCCCCCTACGTTTAAACCTAAAAAAAAATCCGTCCAATGGAGAAGAGATAAATTCGAATAAATTGGGCTTAAATGTGGGCTTAAACAAAAAACTTGGGCCTATTGCACGGCCCAAATATTAGTTTCATGGGCTCCTCGGCGATGCTTGCTTGGCAAATGCCAAATGAAATGAGATAAAAATTACTTTTAATTAAAGGATAATTCAAATTTATGGTAATTATGATTCCAAATGATTTTTTCATTATTATTGGAACCCTAAAACTAAAGAAAAAAGAAAAAAGAAAAAAAAAAACTATTTTTCACAACCAATTAGTCAAAGTTGGCACCATTATTCTCCAACTCTTACGTCATTGTGCTTACGTCATCAAATTCCTTATTTATTTAATTTAAAATAAAAATATATACACAAAAAATAAAAACAAAATATTTATTTACCCTAAGTCGTTATTATCATTGTGAGAATTTGACAAACTCAATGCATAAAGAATAGAATAAAATAAAATAAAATAAAATAAGATAATTAAAATTAATTATTTACGAAATTAAATTAAAATAGGACGTTCACAAGTACCTGTAATTTTGACCAACTAAATGCGCATTTTCCATTTTTTTAAAATAATAATGAATAAAATAAATAGTAATAATAATAATAATAATAATAATTCTCCCTATAAATACTCTGTTCTGTGCAGGTCTTCCCAGTGAAGAGCCCTCGAAACTACACGTCGTACGAAGGAGAGAAATTTTCCCCAAATTCTCTCTCCGTTTTGCAGAATTCCAATCCAAGAAAATGGAGGATTCCGGCAAGAGGAAGCGGAAGGAGAATGACGGCAATCGCAATGAGAGCGACGAGGCGGATGTCGAGAAATTCATGGAGATCGTCGAGAAATTCCGCGCTCCGTACGACTGGTTTAGAGCTAAAATGTCCGGTTCCGTAACGAATGGCGAGGATCAGAGAATGAAGAAGAAGAAGAAGATTGTTGAAAACGATTCGAAGCGAGGCGACGTTTGGATGCCGTTTTTTCTTCTGGAAGATTTCGAGGAAGAGGAGGTTATCAAATTCTGGAAATCCACGGCGCTAAGGAAATCGGAGACGACGGCGACGGCGGCGACAACGATGGACGGAGGGAGCGAGGAGAAGGAGAATAACGAAGGGTTAGACCTTCGCCTCTGTCTTTGATTCAATTTGAGTGTTTAGTTTAGACGCGAAACAACCGAATGAATGTTAATATTCAAAATTTAAAAAATAATAATAAATGGTTTTTATATTATTCTTTCATTTTTTTTTTAATTATTCATAGATATGAACTTTAAAAGATTGCATATATATAATTTGTTTAATGATTTATTTTAAATCTTTACTATTTTAAATAAACATTAGAGCATGTATCATCCCCTCCCCCCATATATGTATATAATTTTCTATTAAATTTTGTGGATCGAGTTTCTTAAAAAATCATTTTCGTTTATTTTTTTTTTATTTCAAATGAATCAAATAATTTCAAATGGTTAGTTAATTTCGAAATATAAAATTCTTAAATTTCTAATAAAAACAAAATATATCCCACATCTAATTATATATATATAATTCAAATGTTATTTTATAAATATGTTAAAAATAAAATAAAACTTTTAAGTTTTAAAATTTATAATTTTTTTAATACTATCTAGCTAAACGGAAATTTTAGGTCTAGGTAGAAAAATAGGCATTTGTATGATGACGTGTAAATGGGCGATTGGAAGGAAGTTTCCACTTTATTCTCACGAAACGGCTGCGTTTTTATTTCCATGAAAACGGTAGCTTGAGAAACAAGCCCCGTGACGTCATACTCTCTGCGTAGGCAGAAAAATAGTTATTATTATTATTATTATTATATTTTTTTTTTTAGAGAAAACAAGAATTTGTATTAAATTAAAATTTTGATTATATTTTAAATTTAATTAAATTAAAAATGTTTGTTAGCTCTGAAATTTTTAATTTTGCACATTATATAAATTAGGTAATGAATTTGGTCACTATATTTCAAAAATTATAATTTTGTCCATATTAGGTTAATGTTGAAAATAATCCCTATTATTTGTTAAAATAATAAACTTTATTAAACAATTAAATTCCAACTCTTAATTCTTCCAGATCCTATCCCATCAAACTTCTCATTCACGAGAATTTCATTTTTAACATTTTTGTGTTCATATTATTCTTAAATAAATAAATTTTTATCTAATATTCTCGGATAGACAAATATAAAATTCTGATTCTTTTGTTAACGTCATGCAAAGAGGTGTATGTGAGTTGGGTTGGAATTCTTTTTTGGATCAACCTTAAATTTTAGGGACAGTTACCCGAACAACCCCAATAGAATTTACAACTCAACCCTGTTCGAGTTTTGTTTTTTTGCTTGTTCGTTGAGTTGATACAAAGGGGAATAATAGGGTAAAGCGATTTGATAGATAGAGACGAAAGTAAAGGTTTAGAAGAAGAAAGGCACCAAAAAAGTCAAAAATGGAAATGACAAACCCTTCTTCTTTGCAATTCATTGTGTTGGGACTTTCCTTAGAGGAACTCTGTCCATTGCTTTTGCTTTGCTTCCATTTTGTCCCCTTTTTGTAGCCTTCCTTTTTGTGTTCTACCACGGAGTTGCTCTCATGTTTGGAACACTTTCAGAATACTACTGTTGGAAGTTGACTCGTGCCCATCTTAAAAGTTTGAATCTTCGTGTTTCCGTGTTCTAATGTCTCGCACCGTTCTTGTCGTTTTTTGAAAACTATGATGTCTTACTGCATAGGAATGCTTTTTTGGGGTGGTCGGCATTCTGAGAAAATGGAGAGGCCCCGCCCATTTGAGTCGCTTTAAGATGCGTTGATATAACTTATATGAAAGAATGACAATGGTGCTAACAATAGAGTTTTGAGATCCCTCATTAGTTGGGGAGGAGAACGAAACATTCTTTATAAGAGTATGGAAACCTCTTCATAGTAGATGCGTTTTAAAACAGTGAGCCTGACGGCAATACGTAACAAGCCAAAGCGAACAATATCTACTAGCGGTAGACTTTGACTGTGATAAATGGTATCAGAGTCACATACCAAACGGTGTGCCACGAGAACGCTATGCCCCAAAGGGGCTGGATTGTGAGTTCCCACATCAGTTGGAGAGTGAAACAAGACATTCCTTATAAGGATGTCAAAACCTCTCACTAACACACACGTTTTAAAACTGGAGGGCAATACATAACGAATCAAAGCCAACAATATATGCTAGTGGTGGACTTGGACGGTGACAAAAATGGTATTTCAAAGCCAACAATATATGCTAGTGGTGGACTTGGACTGTGACAAAATGGTATCAGAGCCAAATACCAGGAGACGTGCCAACGATGACACTGACCCCTAAGGGGGTGGATTGTGAGATCTCACATCGGTTGGAGAGGAGAACAAGACATTCATAATAAAGGTGTGGAAACCTCTCCCCAGTAGTCGCGTTTTAAAACTGTGAGACTTACAACGGTACGTAACGGACCAAAGCGGACAATATCTACTAGCGGTGGACTTAGGCGGTCAAGAGAGAAACTTATGATTCCGAAGTTACAAACTTGCAACAAATACATATAAATACCTAACAAAAAGCTAAAATTTTATGAAGAGATGTGTTGTTGGAAAGAGGAAGAACAAACCAAGAACAAGAAGACTATACACAAATGCAAATTAACAATATCATATCAAACTTATCTAAAACTTCTTATCACACCAAGCCTTTCTGCATCTACTTTGATGCTGTGTTCTTAAGAGGGCTCTTTCCCAGACCGGACGATGGTGTCCCTCGTCCCCCGGCTCGAGGACTCTGCACTCCTCTTAGCTCGCTCACCCGAGGGCTCTCAAAACTCTTTCGCTCACATCTTGGTGATGCCATGGAGCTTGTGATCTTAGGACTACTAATATGCCTAAATTCGCCACGGCTTCGAGTGATAACATCGTCTAAAATCTCCCCATCGCCACCAAATGAGGCTCCAGCTCCCAGCTCGGCTTCCTGTTCACCGAATACAATCAAAGATGTCGATCAGCTTCGTGATTAGAAACCATATATCTGCATCTAAATGTATACAATGTGATGTTACCGTAGCAAGGTTGAACGGTAAAGCCGATGCTTCTTCGTACTCAGCTGCATCGAGATCTTGGAGATGTGCACCTTTGAAGAACTTGGGAAGAAGGTATTGTCGCACCGGGACGAGGAGCATGATCATCAAAGGAAACATGACCCCGGCGATCGGAACCCATGTTAGTCCAAAACATATGAACAAATATACAATTTGGAAAATGGTAAAAAGTACAATGGATTTGAATGGCACGGTTTCGACGAATGTCGCATGGTAATCCTCAAGAACTCTGCACGTGACACAAAAAAAAGTTCGTCATTCGGAGAAACGTATCAAATTGAGAAGTCGAAAAAGACTCGAAAATTTTCGTTACTTGTATCTTCTACTGGGTGCAGTGAAGAGCAACAAGATTCTTTCCCAAAACTGGTTACCAGGCAAGCTTTCGATGGCCATAAACGCGAAGTAACCCCATAGAACCGAGGTCGGGATCTTTTTCAGGACCGGCATGGCTGCAACGCATCCTCCCACCATTGCAGCTTGAAGCAAATTACTGACACGCTGTTCTTTCACCTCGACAGGCAATAGATCATCGATTTCCTTTTCAATGTCGAATACCGTCTCATCGACCGGAGCATCGAAACTGCCCATACTAGAAGCTGCGAGAATCGTTGTTTCTTTTAGCTCATTCAGTCCCTGCTCAAAAGTCATTACATAGCTTAGTGAACTTTATAATTAAGAAGAGTAAACACGTTTCCCCGGTCGTGAGTTACTCATATAAGTTCGTGTACCTCCGAGACTACTTCCTAGTTTCGAGTTTTATGAGTACGAAAATCGGGTGACTTACACGAGATGCGGGCTGTTGGTAGATCAGGGGGGTCTGCATTTGATGATATGCTTCTTGCATACTTCCATATAATTGTCCCAAGCTAGCATTCTTTCTCATACTACACCGTGTCGTTTTTACAAGTTTATTCCGCAGCAACTACAAAACGAGCCAGAATCTCGTTAAAACACTAAATAAACGAGTATTCAACCGCAAACCGATGAAGATAACTCGAAAAGATTATTGTGACCGAACGACGAATGACCAGTTTACCTGGTGTTTGAGAGTAGCTAGGCTCTTCGTATGCATCGGAGATTGTGGGATGACTCCATTAGAAGGAGGAATTCCAAGAAGGCCACATATTAAGGTCTGGCACGAGAAGACATGATTCAAACCGTTATACTGACATAACGAGCGAGATGCCAAAACGAAAACAAATTGCTAGAGAGATTCATTTCCATACCAAAAATCCCAAGAGAAGTAAATCATAATGGTAAGAAGATGGCTTCCTCAAATTAAACTCTTTCTGCTGAGCAAGTTGAGATGCAACACTATGGTCGAAATAGTAAAGCACCGCAATCATCGTAGCCGGGATGAACGCTCCACAGATATAAAGGACTGGAACGTCGAGCATATCCTGCAACGTTGGCGCAAAAAAACGATCAGTATGAAGGAGACAAGAGAGGAACATGATGATTAGCCTTACCTTAATAACAGTCCAATTCTCGTACGCACCGGGAGACCATGGATTCGGGCTGAAGAGTCGTCTCGGGATACCTTGTGGGACATTTTTCGACGAAATGAAGGATATACCTGTCCAAACAAGAACCATGAGCGGCACTCCATAGTCTGCTATCAAGCTTCTGAGCCAACCTGCCAAAACAATACATTATGAAATGAATTGACCTTTTCATATGAATATCTAATGTTCTTCCTAATCATACCAGATCCATATCGCCACGACCGAGCTTTTCGACTCCTTAACGCAGTGAGTAGAAGGCCAAACGACAGTACCAAAGCAAACATCCCATTGGCAAACCTCCACGAAGGTATAAACTCGATCAACTTCGGATTTTCTCGTTCCGGGATACGAAACTCATCCACAAGTCCCTAAAAACAATGTCAAACGCTCAATCTTATTAGATATCAAGCCAGTAAACTCGAGCAAAAGGGAGTGTGCATATTCCTTACTTTCACCGCTTCCTGCATGAAAAGCATCGCGATAAGCAAACCGAACAATTCACCGGCGAGACGAGTGAACCGATTGATGATGGAACATGCTCCTAATATAGCCATTAAGAACAGCAAGGCTGCAGTCCAAACACACACCCTAAAGATTCACATGTTCATACAAAATGGTGTCAACAACAAGCACTAAGAACATTTCAATACAGACCAATTCTACTTTCTTTGAAGCTGTAAAAATGTCATACCATCCACTCCATGCTAGAAACAGATTCCGACCCAACTCGGGTCGTTCCTTCGCGAAATTGAACATGAAGGTGTACATAATAACAGTAGGCTCAGCTACTCCCAAGATTAACAAAGGTTGACCTCCAACAATGGAGTGAATGATGCCACAAAGAGCTGTGGAGGCTAAGGTTTGAACAGCAGTCAACACCCCATCTGCATAAACAAGTTAAGAACATGTTTACAAATTCAAAAACAGATCTAAAGTGAAGTTTGCAGGAGATTCTAAGTTGTTCTTACCAGTACTTCTCTCCAATTGTTCACCAAATGAAATGACAGGAATAGCAGAGGCAAAGAATATGTAAGTAGTGGGAGCCAAAATCCTAGAAACCAATAAGAACATCAAGAACCCACATGAACACTCACATAGAAACACAAAATAAACAAACCCCAATAGCAAAAAATGAATCAAGATTCAAAAAAATGAAGAACAATGGAGAAATGTTCATACCTATATCCAGCTCTGAATCCACCAGTCCAGTCTTGTTTGTAGCAGAGCAACCTCCCTTTAAGGTCCTTCTTGATTCCACGAAATGGAACGAAATTTTCCTCCATAGACTCAATATGGGTAATCCTCTTTTCACTTCAAAATCTCTGAAAAACTAAGCTTCAACTTATGGGGTTCTTAATGGCATTGATGATTAACAAAAAGGGCTTTGAAAACTCAAGCTCAAAACAAGGAAATGGCAAAGAAATTACATGATTCAATGGCTTAGAGAGAGAGTACAAACCGATTCAAAGAAGGTTTAGCAAGAAAAAGAGACAAGAACAAGAACAAGAACAAGAACACAAAAAGAGCTGAAATCTGAGAAACAGAGGAAATGGGTGTGCAGAGAAACAAGCAAGAATGAGGATTAAATAAGGTAGAAAAGGGGCGGTGAGGGAAGAACATGAAGGAAAAGAAGGGTAGATTTGATGCAGACATGGAGGCGGGTCAGAAGGGGGTATGAAAAGGAAGCTCACTAATAATTTTCCTTTTAAAAAAATTGTTTTTGTAAATTGAGGAGAATGAATCATGTGTATCTCTGAGTATTCCAGCTTCCATGGGACCCTCATCATGTAAGGCCAAAATGCCATATCATCACCCATTTAAAGATTCAAGCTTTGAAGCTATGGTGGTGGGGCTTTCCAGATGATCCTCCATTGTTAAAGTTCAAAGCTTTGTTTCAAAAAAAAATAAAAACATGAGGAACTCAAAAACTGACAATTTGTAATGGTCTCCAACAATCCAGAGCATGTCTCTGCCAAGAACAAATGGGTAAACGACCAAATAAACTTGTGTTTTTTTTTGGTGTAATTATTGTTGTTGTTGTTAAATACTCAATATGTTGGGTTTTTTTCAATGATTAAATGTATAATAATGTCTTTTGTTTGGTATATATTTGTAAGTTTATGGATCTAATTTTATGTGATCAAATGCCATTAGCTTACCAAAGTATAATTAAGATTAAATTAATCTGTAATTAAAATTATATTTATAGAAAGTGAATTTTATTATCGAGAGAATATAACTCATACCCAGTGCCTCTTTATTTATTATTATTATTTTTAATTTTAACTCATTTCGAGAATATAGCCGATAATTCTGATATTCTTCTACATCTCTTACGGTATGATTATGTTGTCTAATTGTCGTTTTCTGATATAAATATTCGATTGATTTTTAAGCATAAAGAACGAAAAAGGGAAACAGGGGTTCAAAGTAACGAGATGCTAGGATCGCGTCGCTTATAATCATTATCCATTTTTTTAAACATTTCTTAATTATTATATTCTCAAAATCACTTTTATTCGAACGTCCTGTCCTTTTTACGACCGAGACACTTAAAAAAGTAGGAGTAATAATTATCCATTCTTTTAAACCTTTCTTAATTATTATATTCTCATAATCACTTTTATTCGAACGTCCGTCCTATTTTCATTCACCTATCAAAAAAATTTATATTATTTAATTTCGTGAAAATTTTAAATGATAGAAACCTAATGGACTAAAATTATCACTTTTATTTTAAAATAATACAAAAATAAATTATCTTGGACTAAAAAAACATCGAGTAACATTTAAAATACCAAATTAAAATATCCCATACTGTTAAATCGTATCGCAGTAACGTTCGAGTTCCGATTCAATCACAATTGTTGAAACCAACCAACACAAGATTGCAACTTTGCGAGTACAACAATTCATTGTCAACTATGTACTACAATGTGAGATTCCACATCGGTTAGAGAGGGGAACGAAACATTTTTTTATAAGAGTGTAGAAACTTCCCCTAGTAAATGTGTTTTAAAATCGTGATGCTGATGACAATATATAATGAGCCAAAACAGATAATATCTCCCAGTAGTGGGATTGGACGAGCTCATACGAATTGACAGAACCATAAGTCAGTCTTTTATAATACAACTCAAATGAAATGATCGATAATAGTGATAATAGTCTATGACCTAGGAGAAATTTTTTAGCTATACCCTACGGGAGTCATATAAGCTAAGAAACATGGTATTTGGATAATTATGACTCTACACGTGAGCTAGTTGCTGAGTATTTTATACTCATTTAGCTACTCGAACTGACACGACTTGTGACGAGAGCGTACTAGAATATAAAGAGTACATCTGCTTTTTCTTAGCTGTTTATTCGTCTATCCTAAAAGTACAACGGTATAAATGAAAATAATATTCCTTAGTTCATCATTATCATATAATCAAATAGTCGATTAATTAGGGTTTTGAATCATATATTATATTAATGAATTAGTAAATAATTTATAGTGTGTCACATACATGAAATCACTTGACCTAGCTAGGGTTTTTAATTAGCAAATTTTAAGGTATATTTAATATTAATTTAAAAGGCTCTTTTTTGCATAAATAAATAAATAAAGCAAAGGGCTTTGAGTGGCTACCATGCTTTCTTATAGCTTTAATTGTCCCTTTCATTAATATTAACATTATAATATATAGTTTTTATTTTTGAAAGATTCAAAGGTATCAACCAAACAACCCTTTAACTTTTAAGCATAGTGCCTTAATATTAAAGCTTTGTAATTGGTTACCCTCTATTGATTCTATATGTAAATTAAACCTTAAATCATGATTAATATTTTTTTTAAAATAATTAGTCTCTCGATTAATTTTTATTCTATGCATCTTTTCTTCGGTGGGATGTTATTATTATTATTATTTCGTACGGGTAGATAAAAAATAAATATCAAACTAATGATAATGACTCATTTTGAAATTTTTTAAAAGTATAGGGACTAAAGTTGAACGTTCTGGCTCTAATATCATTTGTAATAGTCCAAGCCCACCGCTGGTAGATATTGTCCATTTTGGCCCATTACGTCTCGCGTCAGCCTCATGATTTTAAAACGCATATGCTAGGGAGGGGTTTCTACACACTTATAGGGAATGATCCATCTCTCTTGAGGGTCCAATATCCTCACTGACTCACTGCCCGATGTTTGGCTCTGATACCATTTGTAATAGCCCAAGCCCACCGCTAATAGATATTGTCCGCTTTGACTCGTTACGTATCACTATCAGCCTCACGGTTTCAAAACGCATATGTTAGGGAGGAATTCCTCACCCTTTTTAAAACGCATTTGCTAGGGAGAGGTTTCCACACCCTTATAAGGAATGATCCACTTCTCTTGAGGGTATAGCGTCCTCGCTGACACACCTGATGTCTAGCTCTGATACCATTTGTAACAGCCCAAACCCACTGCTAACAGATATTGTTCGCTTTTGCCCGTTACGTATGACCATTAGTCTCACAGTTTTAAAACACATTTCTACTCCCTTATAAAGAATGCTTCGTTCTCTTCTCCAACCGATGTAGGATCTCACACAGATATTAGCTTCGTGTAGGTCGATATAGGACAAAGTAGGGAAGTGGGTGATAAAAAAGATTACAAATTTTGGAAAAGGAAAGAAAAGAAAAGCATGAAGAAGAAAGCTTTATATATGGTAGATGCATTGATTGGCCTACCTAACAGTTCATTCATACTCAATCATAGAGCATCATCAAGCCCACCATTTTTGGTCAACCCATTTGTTGTCTACCCATCTCAATTCAATTATTGTCTTCCAATCTTGCAAATATGTTTGTTTGTCTCCTTGTTTCTTGCGAGCTAGAGACCACGGCTTGTGCTTACATATTGTGTCTACATGAGCTTTTACTAACACTAACCTTTTAAAACTAAATTAGATAGATGGATCGAATTTGAGACGATTATTGTTGGAGATGTAACACGAAAGAAAGTGCACCAACAAGGCAATGCACACACTAGCTCACCGTGCTAGGAGACATGAACTCAATGAGTGTAATAGTCAAACCCCACTATTAGTAGATATTGTCTTTTTTGAGCTTTCCATCTCATGCTTTCCCTCAAGGTTTTTAAAACGTGTTTGCTAGGGAGAGATTTCCACGCCCTTATAAAGAATGTCTCGTTCTCCTCTCCAACCGATATGAGATCTCACAATCCACCCCCTTTCGTGACCCAGCGTTCTGAGTGTCCTACGTGGGCACATAGAAAATAACTATATAAAGAAAAATTGCACTGTAACGACCCATGTTCCAAGTAGGGTGACGTGACTCCAAGTAGGGTGGATTGCCCAGGTCTCAGACCAAGATTCAGAATTTGAATTCGTCACCTATTGGCTTCGGTCTTCCCCTCCAACATGGTCACATTACCTATTCCTCACCTCTTAAGAGTGAAGACTATCCCTATAGACCAACACAAGTCCTTCCAGCATATTTTGACCTCTCTCATATGCATACTAGAAAAATTCTTAGCGGGTCAACCAACATAGAATGTTGTTCTAACTAAAGCACGATTAACCATAGAGTACCTACAATTGAGCCATCGAAAAGGAAGATACACCTTATCAATATAGACAATAATTTTCATTTTCTTTCCGAAAAAGGCTCTTTATATGAGCGGTACGAAACGAACGCATACATTCATGATTAAAGGGGATACCGAAAAGAGGGAGCTAACTAGGGAAGGTTGATAAGTTGATTTCAATCTTTCCTTTATTTTTCAACTCTTCTTCTTCCTTTATATTTTTATCACTATGCATTGGAAATCATTTTGTCTACCACAATACATTTTCCCTCTCATTAATTATGGATTTAAATCAATCTCAGCCGTTCATCATGGTAGGTCCCTCAATTTTTTTTAAATTAAAATTAAAACAATAATTTAGGGTTTAATGGACTTAATAATGTAGGGTACCCCATAAGGTTTATGAACCATAATCATCCTTCTTTGATTTGGACTTCTCTTTCACTTCAACTGTTACTTTGAAAAAAGTTAATTATTATTATTATTCAAAGTGAAATTATTATAAATTTGTGGTTTCATATTTCTATGGAGGTTTGCATCATATCATTTCATAATAACTTTATCTCAAAATGTGAATTATTTTCTCCCTATTCTAAAAACTATATATTATACCATATTAATTAAACCATACAAAATAACTCGGTTAAGATAAGTATGAAAATTATTAGAATGCTATAGTTAATACTAATTTTTACGGTGACATTAGTTTACGTGAATGATTTTGTAAATGATGTCACAGTCTATCTTTCCAATTTTTTACTCTCGAGTCGTTGAGCTAATTTTCATTTTATTCAACGAAAAATTCTTCGTGGGTAAACTTGTAACGTAACTTTAAAGAGTACTCGTGTACCAATTCGAGCTCACTGTTGGAAATTTTGTTCATTTTGGCTCGTTATGTATCCTCATCAGTCTCACGATTTTTAAACGTGTTTATTAAAGAGAGGTTCCTACACTTTTATAAGGAATGTTTCGTTCACTTCTCCAATCGATATGGAATTTCGAACTCGAATACGGGGTTGGATTAAATTTTAAAATATTATTAGATTGAGCCAAAATTGGTGGTGTTAAAGGATGGGAGTGGAGGAATGGGGAGATAAGAAGGCAGAAGAGGATTGGCAGCATAATGAGTGGGTGAAGAACGCCATCCCAAACGATGGGGTTTGAAGGGTTGGTGTTGCTTTCAAATTGTGACTCTTTCCTGGCCATCCATTTTCATACCCATAACCTACATCACATCAATGGATTCTCGAACCCTGTCCAACAAAACCACAACCCGAACGTACACGAGAAAACAATACGTACAAGTTGTGATATTTGAGTAAATGAGAGATACATGAATCAACCGATACCACATCTGAATGAGAACAGTCCTAAAAAAGACTTACAAGAACTGGAAGTCACTATCTATATCAACAATGTGCATCTGACAAATCAAGTTTTGACATTATAAACTTGGCAAAGAGGTTGTACTTGATAGTGTATACGTCAACATAGATAGCGAGGATGGCATCCTCGAACGGAGATGTCAGCTCTTGGCACACATTCTTGAGGCCTTTATTCAAGGGTTTCACAACTTGATTGTGAACCCTAAGGCAGCCAATTTGGTCAACATCCTTGTGGCTGTGGAGATGCAATGGCCAGCTCTTTTGGAGAGCAACCCCATGGTCCTATGTTGTGTAAACAAAACTTACTGAAGAAGTTATTTATGAGGTGGCCATCGCCGAGCCGCCCGGTTCCAGCAAGAACGCCACCGGTATCGGAGTTTGAGTCCCCGAAGTTGATCGGAGTTGGTGGTGCAGGGCTGCAGTTTTTTTTATGGAATGAATATGACAAGAGAAACGACACAAACCCAAACCGATTATTCTACTAGGTTAGGGTTTAACCAAAGTTGTTTTTAAATTAAGGTTATCTGCTAGCCGCTGAACCCTATCGACCCTGTAAATAGACGACTTTTTGTTTGGGAATTATATAACCACCGAACCTTTTTTATCATGATCTTACCCACACCTAAGATTCAAGATTGAGCACTAGAGCAGCTCATAACAACATACAAAAAAGAAAAAGTTGCTTGATCAAAGTATCTCGAACATTCTCCATTAGCCCGCCAGCTACAAAGGAGGTTCATTCAATCAGTCTCAGCTAAAGCCGAATCCAAATCTACCTTCTTCATCTTCTTGTTTGAAATTAAGAATCATTTAGAGACGTGAATTCTAAACTCAGTTTAGAATTCTACTTCAAAATCATTCCCGATTCATGCCCTACACTAAAGTCGTCGGGATTCCAGATGTACTATGTTTCTAGCAAGCCATTTTAAATGGGGAGTGGAAGAAAAGTTTGAATTTTGAAAAAGGAAAAAGGAAAAAGGTTTTAAATTAAGGGGGAAAAAATGAACTTTTCTTTCTCTTTTATTGGATGCCTCTTTTTTTTTCTCCCACCAAGAGTTGACTCAACTCATTAAAGTGCATAAAGGAAACTAAATAATATTTTTAAGTTATATAATGCTAATAAAAATTTTAAAAAACATTTATTATTATCCAAAATGTCCATTAAATTTATTTGTCGACTAGACAGCTTATTCATAAATCATGGGCCGGACCATTGGGCCCAATTAGATATTTTGAAACTAGCCCATTATCAACACCTGCTTTGGTTGTGGACTCAAGGCCCATCCATCAGTGTCTCAATAATAGCTTATTCATAAATCATGGGCCGGACCATTGGGCCCAATTAGATATTTTGAAACTAGCCCATTATCAACACCTGCTTTGTTGTGGACTCAAGGCCCATCCATGAGTGACTCAATAAGCTATTATTAAAAACAAAAATTTGAATAGATGACCCGAACAACTCGAACCAACCCAACCCAAAAAACTTATGATTGGGTTATCCTTTTGTTATTAAGATTTTTTTTTTTTTTTTTTTTTTCTACAATGGTTTCAATAACACAGTAAAACAGCAGACATCCAACAGAACTCCAACTAAAAGCTGAATATTATCAAGCTTTTTTGGTTGGGTCAAAACGAATACACAATCATACACAATCATCAGTTGTTACAGAAGAAATTAAAAGTGGAGTTTCGGAGAAGAGTATTGAGAAGAAAGTATCTTGGAGGCAAACACACCATTTGCTGCTTCTGTATAGTGAACTCCATCCCAGCTTACATACTTCAATCCTTCGTTGCACACGTTGAAGCCGGGCATGCCACAAGTAACGCTCTGGTTAAAGTTGTACGGCGGTCCTCCATAGCCACAACATGCCGTTGATGGATTCTCAAACCCTGCACCGCGTAGGAAACAGCTCGAGTCAAGATGATAATGTTGTTGGTTCTTGTTAGAAGATGATAATATTGACATTACCATTCAGGGCGGCGTTGGCTATGAGGTCGTATTTGATGGCGTAGACATCGACATACACAATGGTGGCATTCATCAAAGCAGACCTTAGTTCTCCACATGCTGCTTTTAATAAAGTGTTGAACTCTTTTGCAGCGTTGTTGAGGGATTGGAGGCACCCATGATTGTCTATGTCGCTAGCATTTGTAGAAGCTGTAGCAAGCTTTTGAGGCAAACAACCCAATGGCCCTGTGTTGTGTACCCAAAAATTTCTTCCTCCATGTTGGTATATAGTCTACATTAATATTGACAAGCAATGAAGGGGGAGTAGCAGGAGCAAAAACACAAGAATCCATTGAGTTTCCTTTTTAACTTCTACTTCTAGAACCAGAAAAAATATTTACAACTCTCGAGAATTAACCCAAATCTATCTTGAGAGTTAACTTCAAACTTCTATAATGTCAATTTAATCATGCCTATTAGCTTAAGAACTTAAACTTTTAAGTGGTGAAGAGTAATTCAACAGAGTAGGAATTAAAGACTAACCCATATGGCATTTTTTATCTCAGTAACAAAAGATGGGATTCTCTGGATGACTTGCGAGTAAGACAGGTAAGTGAACGAACCAGCAAGATCATTTTGTCCGATGTCAATTGTGTAAATTGCATTATTGAATCCCTCTTCATCAACCAAGTCTTTATAGCCTACATCAGTTCATTAGTTAAGAAACCTTAGTCAATGGTGGAATGAAGAGATTCATCCGATCCATAAGAAACTGATGAGTAATCAAAAGTAAGAATTTGTGTTAATCAACTACCATATTGAATACTATATACCTTTTGGAATAAACTCGAGGGAGCGTGACTGAAATTGAAGGAATTGCATAACTTGAATATACAAGTTAAATGGACGATCCTTTGGCAAAGTAGCGGAACCAGATATGGCAAAGTTAACTCCATTAGTGAAATTTGAGCCCACAGATCGCAGATATGGGGTCAGATAATCTGAACCCACGCTTTCACCTGCGTAAGAAAATGTATTTTAGTAAGAAAATCAAGACATTCGGTTATATGTATGAGAGAAATAGTTAGGTAGTGTCAGAGTACATACATAGAAAATCAATCATCAGTCGTCCATCACATAATCTGCCGGATGGTTTGTGGAAGAACACACGGCCACTTGGGGGTCCAAATCTGAGTCCAAGTCCCTCGGAGAAGCCACCCGTATCAGAATTCGAGTCGCCGAAGTTGAAAATAACAGGCTTTTGGCTGCACTGGGAAAGAACGAGAAGAGGCCCAGGCAGAGACAGCACAAAGAACATGACAAACAACGGAAAAGGAAAGGAATTTCTCTTCTTTTCAGTCATTTCTGCTATCAGATTTCCTTACCAGCTTGTTATGGTAACGAATGATCACAATAAATAAGTAGCAGGAAGAGAATGTCATATGCAATGAGTACTAAAGTGCCCTGTTGCGTTCCATGTGCTCTACTTGAGATCTGTGTCTCAGCTAGTTCATTATGCAGTTGAAGCTCTTGAATTCACAAGAAGACAAATCTAAAAATCTGAAAAATCTGATATGATCTTTTAATGTTTTTCATGATTCATGACATCAAAGACATTTCGGCCCAATAAGAAAATAATAATAATAAAACAGCTTCCATTTTCATCCATGTCAAAATCCATATAGTTCTTCCTATAAAAACGTTTAAAGATAGAGAGAGAATAAAGGCATTACTTTCCGAGAAACTACAATTACTTTCGGGAATGGAGCATTTCTCTGGTTCTAAGGCAAGTTGTAGGTTTCGAAACTGCAAATCCTGTCGTCAATCAGAAGTGACAAAGACATGTTGAAATATAGTTAGCTAATTCTGTTTTACTCTGAGCTCGCACTATTCCTTATGCTAGTCCGTGATTTACAGATCCCTGGAAAAAATAGAGATAGAGAGTTAGTGAGTCAAATGAATCTTATCTTGAGTATCAAAAAAAAGTTGTCGTATTCTCTTAGTCTTCTGAGACAAGAATATCAGTTTTGTCCATACAGGGACTGCCGACATTCAGCAACTTGGTGTCATTGAAAGAAAGTCACATGAACAGCATATTGAAATATTTTAATGCCATTAGAATATAACATTAAAACATCACACGTACCAGTTCATCCCCCATTTCAAAGCTACCTGGAAATCTTCTGGAGAAAATATAAAAGAAAAGCATGTGGAAAGGGATTCATAAAGCCAAGATCTTCCATAACATCTTTAAAATCTAAGAGAACATGAGCATCTGAGTAACGTGGATATCTAAGTGATAAAGTTAACGAGAATCTCTGAGATTCACATCAACTTAAAAAATCCAGTTTCAAGTTAGATCCTTTTCACCTATTTTTGTGAGATGAAAGATTCAAATGGGGAAATAATTGCACGACACAAAACTTTACTGTATTCTCCACAATCTCAAGTGATCATTTTTATTCCCATTTTTGCCTGATGTATGAGAGCAACGGAACCACTTCGAAGTTCCTAATATCTAGAGTCTTGGGATGAATCAGTTACAACAGACCAATACCCAAAAGCTTAACATGAATTTAGCCAACAATTACAGCAAGGGTTTCCAATGTACTTCACAAATTAGGAAAAGAAACACGCTGAAGTATAGTAGGCGCTTGGCTTATGCAGACTGTAACCTTGAGCAGGAATTGGCTTTTTGATACAATACAAAGACGGAATGGCCACCTATAGCTATTCCTATTCAAGAAAACTACAAGCAAATCGACCATCAGAAAAGGTTAGTTTCTCAGCTTTGGTTACTGCATCAATAGGGATAGGGCTGAAGCTTCGAGACGGACCATAGAAGTGAGGGAAGCTATTGGAACCATCCACAAGTTCGTATACTAATCCATCACCAAGCTGCAAAGAAAAAGGTCCATGTAATATATTAAATAGAGAGGCACAAGAGAAGAACACGTAAAATGGAAAAAGGCCAGTACTGATAACATATAAAATGGGAGAATGTTTACTAATTGATGATAGAGTTAAACACACATTATTCAGATAGGTCAAACCAGATGATCCAGTTTGTTTCATTTTACTTATCAAACAAAATAACTATGAGGCTAACTTCCAGTAGTAAAAGGAGCCTCTTGAATACTAGAAAAGTATATACTTCAACACATTTTCCACGCAAGCAATAGTGTTCATGTAAAACAAAGGCCTCAAACCAATGATAATTGTTGAAGTAAATAGTTTGCTTATATGTATATGCATTGTGTTCCATGGTTGAAACGAGCCGATTATAATGCTAGCTCACACAATCACACTTTTTGAATCCCATTCTCCTTTAATCTTTTCGCTAATAATTATCACCACATCACAAGATCAGAACCATACATATTTAGGCCCCATCTGTCAACTATTTTACATTAGATTTTTTTTCTTTTTAGTTTTTCGATTTTGAAAGTTCCCAAATGAGTTCTTTTCTTCTGTTATCTACTTTTAAAGAATGTTTTCAGAATCCAAACCAATTTTGAAAACTAAAAATGTAGTTTCTTTTGGATGCTGGCTAAGAATTATAATGTTTGTTTACAAAAGGTGGAATCCATAAATTATAAGGAAATAAGTACACATTGTAAAAACCGAAAACTAATAACAAAATCGTTATCGAAGGTGTTTGTATACCTTTTTGGCCTCAATTTGAAGTAGATATAATTCCTCCTTGCTATTCAGGAAGAAATTCTGCAAAGTTGACTGAACCTGCAAAACAATAACCAGTTTCCAGCTCACTGTTTAATAATCAATCATTCGTCATTTACACTTCGATTCTCTTACAAGTTTAAGGTTTTCGAATAATACTTGCCAATGAATATGATTTTACGGGACCATCGAATATAATGCGAAGGATATTGATTTTATGACATTCTCATGCCCATCAATTAAATCTCAGGGAAACTACATTTGAGATTTCTAAACTAGCTTTCAAATCAATTTGAATCGACTAGTTGTTCGACGCTAATAATACAGTCAATGAACGCAATCCACTTTAGAATAAACAATTAACAAAAATCGACGAATGAAGACAAAGTTTACCCTAGATCAGAGGGAGCGAAAGTGTGCGGCGAATAACAAACGAAATCATGATTTCTCCTCGATGCAATGCTCTAACTATTGTGGAAAGAGCAAAATTGTTCTAGTACGAGAGTGAATTAGAAACTCCGATCAGATTAGAGAAGGGGACGAAAGAGAGAACCTGATTGAGGTTACTGAGATGAATGAAACCAGAAGAGGTATCGAAATCTCCTCCATGGAGATAACCGACGCTCTGTGAGTGTTCCCACTCCTTGGATGGACTGATTCTGTAAACGAACTCTTCTGCTACTGCAGGTGCAGATCCTCTTTGCTCATCCTCGCCTGCCATCTGCAATTGCTACCTTCTTCGAACAAGTTTCAAGTCTCAACTCAATGGCAATGAATTGGATAAACGAATAAGGAAATTGATTCTTGACCTTTTTCTCAAAAATACTACTTTTTTTTAGTTGCAATATTATATTTAATTTTGATTATATATATATATATATATATATATATATTTTTTTTTTTTTTTGGCAAAATGCATTTTTAGTATAACAAAATGTTTTTTTTTTTTTCTTTTTAAGATACAAACTTAAATTTTTTTTTCAAACAAAAAAATTTCAATATGGTCTCTTACTCGTGGCAACTTTCCAACCGTCCAACGACCTATAACGCTAGTCACTATTTCCATTAGGGGTAGGAAGTACGCCCCATAACTCAAAACGGCGAAAAAACAAATATAATTTGCTACAAAAATCGACTAACAGATGTATTCCTACGTATGAGAACATAGAAATGGAGAAGATAACAGCTGAAATAAGATTCGTTTTGGCTTAGTAGGTCCTCAATTAAAAGTTTAAAATTACTAAATATTTATAAAAGTTTAGAGACTAGAACAGACACAAACTTCCACACATCCGACTCAATTGCTCGTATGAATTTGGAGGAACAAATAAGAACTTCTCTTTGAGAACGTATTAGACCGGGTTGAGGTCTTTCGGTTTGCAACAACAATGGCACGGAATAGAATAGAATACAATGGCCAAGCTCTTTAACCCATCAGCTCCTTCCTTCCCTTTCCTTTCCTTTCCTTCCTCAACTTCAATCCTCCAAATTTCAACCATCTTTTGAAGCTAATAGTTCAATGCGCTTATGCGCGCAATGCTCTAAACACGAGAGTTTGCAGTCGTGCTCCTTCTCTTGTGCCTACAATGCAAAGCTTTCTTCAGCTAGGCTAGTTTGGTTCCCTTTCTAGCACGCTAACTAATTCATTTAGGTGTTTGTGCTAACCGAAGGGAAGTGTAGGTTGCCTTCATAAGGTATATCTCGGTCGGCATCCTGCTCTCGAAACACAATTAATGCCTTGATCATTTAACATGGCAGTGAATTCAAATTTGACAGATCTATGGGACGAGTCATCGTTTCAGGAAGGTGTCTTGAAGGATCCAAAAAACTTTCCATAATCTTCGACAAGTTCTGCAGAGCCTCGTGCTTGTTAGCGAGTTCCATGAGTACTTTGATCCTTTTAAACGAGACGTTGCTCGGTTTATGCCCCTTATCTACCATCTGCAGAAAACATTTCTCAGCTTCAATCAATTTTCCCAAATCACAAAGAAGATCAAATAACTCCTCGGACACTAATATATAAGACCCAAAACCCCTTTCCACCATGTCGTTCCAAAGCTGCAGTGCCATTTCTACCTTTTCATGCCTCTTAAACGACCTCATTAGAAACAAGCACGACTGCGTATTAGGCAAGCACCCCACATCCATCATTCGACGATACAAGTTCCACGAGCTTTGCAAGTCGTTTGACCAGAAGAAAATCCTAAAGAACAAGTTGTATGTAGTTGCATTTGGATTCAAACCCTTATTCGCCATTTCATCCATCAAATCGAAAGCCTCACGAAGCCTCTTCGCAATGCAAAAATTTCGAATTGCTGCATTATAAGCTGCAACATCAGGGTAACATCCATACTCCTTCATTTCCTTCAAAATATTTCTCGCTTTGTCGGGTTGACCGATCAATCCAAGTCCCCCAATTATACTAGTATATGTAATCACATCAGCAGCTATATCCTCATCCCTCATTTTCTCAATCACCTTAAATGCCTTATCCATCTCCCTATTCTTACAATAAACATCAACCAAACAATTATATGAAACAACATCAGGTTGAACCCCCATTTCTCTCATCTCATCAAAAAATCCCTCAGCTTCTTCCGACGACTTCCAACCCGACAATAAGATGTTAAACGTCTGCAAATTTGGCCTAAACTTACTCTTCAAACCGTGGTAGACGTTCCTCGCATCTGTCATACTCTTCTCCTGACACAGAGTTCTCAACAATGCATTAAAGCAAGTGACATCAAACTCAGGAACAAACTTCTTAAATTTCCTAAAAGACTCCACAGTTTGTCTCACTGAGCAAACTTTGGCAATTCTTCCTAAAACAACCATAACGGTTCGCGGCGTGATTAAGGACCGATCCTTAAGCTTCATATCAATCAAAACATCCCAAATCTTTTCAAACTTCCGGTTTCTACCTAGGATATACAGCATCGTATCAAAAGAAAACGCAGAGTGATAAAATCCCCTTCTTCTACCAGTGTAGTTAAAAAATTCCAAAGCCTGTAAGGGATTCCCGTGACTAAACCTAACCCTCTTAAGAACACCATCGATCAATTCGTTAGATAGAAAAACCCTACTCGATTTCAGTGATTGCCTCATGTTTGCAGAAGAGGTTGAACTACTAATTATGCGGAATACTGTATCTACATTTTCATTTAGCGATTGATTTTCGCTTGCAGTTGAAAATTGGTGCCCTAAGAAATTGGACAATGGAGATGGCGAGAAGTACCTGATCGGCGATTGGAAAAAGCTTTGCCGCCGGAGAATCATCGTCGGATTCCTTGAAATGATACTGAATCTGAACTATTTTGGTAGTTCCTCTGCGGGATTTTTCGTTTTGTTCAGCAGAAGAAACAAAAGAAGATAAAAGGAGATTGCAATCGAAAAGCTCGAAGAGTTGCAGACTTCAGCTAGCTCCAAGAAGTTTGAGCCGGACGATAGAGCGTTTAGGTTAGCGGAGGCTTCGTTTTAAAAAGGCTCTATATATATGTTTGTATATATATATATATATTAAGTTATTTTTCAATTAATTTTGTTTATTTGAACAAAAATCTAATCTAACTCAAACCATATAAGTGGGTTGGATTGATCGAGCAAACTCGATGAAGTCCACACACATCTTCCACCCTCCTCCTTTACTAGAACGGGATCGTTGAGCCACATTGGGTAGTAGACTTCTCGACCTTCAGGCATTGAGCCACACTGGGTAGTAGACTTCTCGACCTTCATCAGTTGAGCAACTTATTGATTGATCACTTATGTAATATCTCACACCAATTAGACACGGGAACGAAGTATTCCTGATAAGAGTGTGTAAACTTCTGTCGAATAGACATGTTTTAAAACCATGAGAGCCGACGGCAATACATAACGGGCCAAAATGAAAGGCGATTAGATGGGCCGTTTATTATGCTATGGGCTATGAAATGGGCTTTTTTAACTGAAATCAGGCCCAATTTTCAATTTACATGGATCATTATGATATTAAATAAAATATAAATTCTAATTAAATAAATAAATAAGAAATATATAGAGCTTGATTCTAGAAGGGCATTATACCGTTCGTCAAAGAAGGTTCCTACGTTTGACCAAATAACTAAAGAAACAGCCAGCAAAGACTCGTTGACTCGTTCTACCCACGTTTCATACGTGGACTTCCACTATTTGACTATGTCTAATATTATTTAATCAAACCCTACCCAAAATTATTATTTTCTACTCGACGATTTTCATTAAATTAAATTTAGATTTAACTCGAACACAACGTCAGTCAAGAATTATAAATATTCTCAGGATAGTGGTGGAAAATCGAGAAATCTTTTTATTTATGTTCTCGCTGTCTATTTTAATCTTTATTCTCGTACAGACTTTTATTTATTTAAAAGTAGATTAATATGTAAATAAACGTGTTAATACTAAAAAAATAATTTTTATAAGATTAAAAAAATTAAAATATAATATTTAATTTATATCTATTATATCTCTACCCTTTAAAAAAATTATAAATTTAAATTAAAAAATTAAAAAGAAGAGAAATATAATTTTATATTAAATATAAAATTTGAATTTATTTAAGTTTGTAGAAATTAAAAATTTTAAACTTATTTAATATTTTTGGAATTAAAGTAGGGGAAAAAAATTCAAAATTAGGCGGTGCCCGTGGAGTGCATGTGAATATTTTGTAAAATTTATTTATTTGTTTATTTAATTATTTTGTGGCATTGTTTTTATTATAATTTTTTCTTGCAAATTGCATCATTTTCACGTGGCGTTTTTCAAATACCAATGAAAAGCGGCTAACCCCACAAAAATAATTAATAATAATTCACCATTACTTAATTATATCCTAAAGTCTAAATAAATAAATAAAATCACCCAATTTTCATAGATAAGGATGAGCTTTTCCTCTTTACTTTTTTTTTTTTAATAATTAAATTGTATTTTAGTTCCCATTGTTCAAGTTTATTTATTTATTTATTTTTTTACTATAGTCCTTAGTTAGGATATTGTTGCAATGAATTGATATATTATTCAATTTACATTAGACCTAACCAAACACTATGAAATTGAAAAAAAAAAAAAAAAGTCAAAACAAAGAGCTTGAAGTGGGAGTAGAGAAAGAGTCGAGGACCCACGTCGAAGCTTGGTCAACGACCCCCAATGCCCAAATGGACCCTAGGTGACCTACCAAGAAACGGGATTGGCTCGAGGTCAAGTTAGCCTCTTTACATCCCTCTATTGTCAGTGACTTAAGTATTGTATAAATAGTGTATTTCATTTGAGGGTTCTAGAGGAATAGTCAAGTCCCAATTAATAAGAGGTTGTTCGAGGGCTCCATAAGCTTGAGGATAGGTTCTATGGTGTATTTTGTTCGAGGGGAGAATTGTTGTGAGAGGAGTCCCACATCTGATGATTAAGGGCTTCATCATGGGTTTATAATATATCTTTATTTATACGAAGTCTTTTAGGAAAACCACGAAAACTTATATTCAAAGTGGACAATATCATATCATAACTCTTGTGGAGAGTCGTGATTTGTAACACCCTCAACTTGTTCGTCAAATCTACACTATTAATTTATGAAAAATAAAATAAATAAATAAGAAAAGAGAAGAAGACATGTGAGAAGCTATGGATATTTTATTTTCTAAAAAAAGAAAAGAAATTGAAAATGTTGTCGGTATCGGCGGATCTGTCGTGTTTTTGTACCCTAAAATTGAGGTAGAGTTAGTCAACGTCAACTCCAATAAATCTCCCACTTTTCTAATTTTTAATGCCCAAAACTTTGACTTTTTTTTTCTTTCTTTCATTTTAGTCCTCCCCCTCTTTTTCTCTCTATTTTCCAATAAATAAATAATACAAAATAAAAATTATTCAAAAAGATATAATTGTATGATAGAAATTAGGTTTAATTTGATGGTTCGAGTTTTTAGAACCCATGATCTTTTGATTTACATAACCCAATTCAAATGGGACAAATTAGGTCGGGTTGGATCGATCTTGAATCATCGGGTTCTATTCGTATCCGAACGCACAAACTCACTGGATATTTTATATATATATATAAAAGAAACTCTAAATAACTCCCCACTTGTTCACTTTATTAGTGTATATATATATTTTATAAAACCATGTTCAACTTGCGGCAAAACACGTTGTTCAGAACTTCCCCTGTTTTCCCCATCTCTCTCTCTCTATATATATATATATACACATACATATATATACATACATATATATATATATATATATATATATATTGGTTCAATTCTCCCCCAAAGAAGCCCAAGTTCCATCTTCTTCTTCCTCTGGATTCTGATTTACAGACAGAGCTTTCTAAAAGGGTTCCAATGGAGGATTTGAAGAAAGGGCCATGGACGCCGGAGGAAGATTCTTTGCTGTTTAGTTACGTCAGTATTCACGGCGAAGGCCACTGGAATTCCGTCGCTCGTTCTACCGGTATGCAATATACGACGTCGTTTCCGGATTAGATTCCCGGTTTATTTCTTCACGGTTTGGTTTAATGGAATTCCTCCGGTTTTTTTTTGGTTTTAGGGTTGAAGAGAACCGGAAAAAGCTGTAGGCTGCGGTGGCTGAATTATCTCCGCCCTAATGTCCGCCGCGGCAATATCACTCTTCAGGAACAGCTTCTCATTCTCCAACTCCACTCCCGTTGGGGCAACCGGTAAGTTTTTTTTTTTTTTTTTAATAATAATAATTATTATTATTTTATTTTATTTTATTTATTTATTTCGATTTGGTTTTTTTAGGTGGTCGAAAATAGCTCAATTTCTACCGGGTAGAACGGACAATGAGATTAAAAATTATTGGAGGACGAGAGTTCAAAAGCAAGCTAAACAGCTGAATTGCGACGTCAACAGTCAACGTTTTCGAGACGCCATGAGACATGTTTGGATCCCCCGCATGGTCGAGCGGATCACGGCCACTTCGAGTCCTTTATCGTCGTTGCCACCGCCATGCATCGACATCTCCACGTCAACTTCAGTGGTTTTTGAAACTACATGGGCAAATCCAAACGACAATAACTTCCCTGCCAATGTGTCGGCGTCGTCTTCCGACGTGTCGGATTTGACGGCTGTAGATGGATCGGGTTGGGATGAAGGATTCGGGTCGGAATGGTTGGAAGGAGACGGAGTTGACTCATTAGAGAGCTTGTGGACCGAAGAAAACATATGTTTCTTACGGCAACAGCTCTTTGATTAGAATTAGAATTTTAATTAATTCAAGAATGGAAAAATACCCTAAAAATGTCGGAAAATTGGGCGATGCTATTGGGTGGAAAGAAAAAAACATTCTTTTTTTGTAATTTTATTTTTCTTTTTCATACTAATTAAAAATGGTCTAAATTACTTTGTTGACTTTACGTGAAATTGTCAACTTTAATCTATTACATATCACCGTCAATCTCACAATTCTAGAATGTGTGTCTACTAGGAAGAGATTTTCACACCCTTGTAAGCAATGCTTCGTTCTACACCCTTGTGGACCTAGCGTCCCTGTTGGTGCACCACCCAGTGACGGGCTCTTATATCATTTGTAACAGTCCAAACCCATTGTTAACAAATATTGTCAACTTTGGCCCATTACGTATCGTCATCAGTCTCACTGTTTCAAAACGCGTATGTTAGGGAGAGACTTCTACACCCTTATAAGGAATGTTTTGTTCTCTTCTCTAACCCGTGTGGGATCTTACATCTTTGCTTCGTTTCGAACAAGAATTTCGAGGATCATACATAGATATTAGCAAAAAGAGATATTAAATTAAAAGTTTAGTACAGAAAGCCTAGCCACTCATGGTCTAGTTTGAAAAAAGAAGGCAATATACACACAAAGACCTTTTCAACACGTTAAGAATATAGAATGGTAAGTTAAATGAATGGGGAAGGAATTGGACGAGTCAAATCAAAGTCGTGTGTGGACTTTTTAGGGCAAAATTTTATGATGATGATGATGATAATTCGTATATTATATAGTTTATGATAATGGATTATTTTACATTGGCTGCCGCAAGCTTTGAAATGTTCTTTTTATCATATAGTTTAATTATTCTTATAAAACAAAAATTGGGTATGATTGGTTATGATGGATAATGATGATAAAATTAGGCAGCCAATGGAATTCAATGTTACATTTTAATGCCATATGACGTCATCCATGCCCTATGCAACTTCCTTTGAGTCTATTGTTCCAATATTTGTATACTCAATTTGTTTATCGAGGCGGGTCCGAACCTCGTTAATTTCGATAGATAATATGGGTTTGAAGAGACGAAAACGTGCTAATTTTGAGTATATGTATTAAATTTTTTTATCGAGGTGGGTCCGAACCTCGTTAATCTCGATAAATAATATGGATTTGAAGAGATGAAAACGTGCTAATTTTGAGTATATGTATTAAAATCGTGGGTCTTAGGTGAAATGTTAACGTGAGGTTATTATTATTATTATTTATTTATATTTTTTTTTGTAAGTTAACGGGTATAAAATAGAATATTATTTAAAAAGCTAGATAAATAAAAAAAAATAACGGGAATATTGTTTTAATTTTAATTTTTTTAGTTTAAGAATATTATTTAAAAATTTAAAAAAGGATATATTCGTGAATAGCTAAGATGCAAGGGGCAAAGTTGGAAAAAAAAATTTGGACCATTTCTCGATTTGTGCGTGTCATCCTTGCGCAGGGGCCATGCTAATCTTCTCTGTATCGTTCCAATTTTATCGGATGTCCCCGAAGGGACAAGCGTTGTGGCTAGCGCGTTTTATTTTAAAGTATAAAATATAATCAAAACTGACCGATGTGGGACAAATTATTGCTTCAAACGACAGCTGATTGACAATTCGATAGACTGATTACTGATAAGACTGTAGTTTGTAGCAGATCGACACATCGAGATTCCGACTCCTAGGAAAATGTGCAGACTGTTTCTTTCATTTAAAATATTTGTTTATATATTATTATTATTATTATTTTTGCATTTAATAATTAAAAATATATATTTCTTCTTAAATTCAAAATTTCATCTGTTAGCATTTTCTACGAACTCCAAAATGCAATCAATCCATGCATTGGGCTTCTCCCACTCTCTTCAATTTTCCCAATCCCATTTCCATCCCAACCCCAAAAATTCTCTGCTAAGAACACTCTCCAGCCATGGAAGCAACAGGAAGGCTAGAACAAGCCTCAGTCTCAGAACATCTTGGCCCTCCATTTCCATTGCCCTATTTGGTTCAGGCTTTCTCTTAGGTCCTCTTCTCGATGGTCTCCATTCTCGGGTGAATCTCGTCGTTTATCAAATAGGATCCGTCGATATCGGCCCACTCCGCACTAACATTTGGGTAAGATTTTCGAATCGCGATTGTAGAACCCTATGATTCGTGAATTGCCACTAATTTTTAGGGCAACTGATGGTTTTACGAGCGATTTTGAATCTGAATGCTGCTCTAGGTTCCTTTCTTGCTGGGAGTATTTTACTGTACTGTTGGATTGATTCAACTCTACATAGATGAGAATTTTTCGCCGAACAGACCGGAGGGGAGTTTGGGCAAGACAGTAGCATCCTTAATGTGAGCTTTTTTTTTTTGTTTGTATTAGATTTTTTAGGGAGTGAAAATGATCTATTACAAGCGATTTTCATATAATTAGTATTCTAATATGTATTGTTTGTTACTGTTTGATCAGAGCATTGGCTTTGTTTATTGAATTGAGTGCTGAAATGTACAAAGCTGGAGTGGCTCCCAACATTGAGGCATATGCATTGTTTGCTGGGGCTGAGTTTATATGGGCATTGCTTGATAGTTCATTGCTTGGCTTCTCACTGGCTTGTGTTGTTGGCCTTCTCTGCCCTCTGGCTGAGATTCCCATTATGAAGTATGTGAACGACCCTCTTTCAATTCACCTACAAGTAGTTTATGATATTTGTTGGTTCTTGTACATTTTTATGTGATGATTTAGTTCCTATATATTTAGAAATGTAGAGGTTAATTCTCTATTGTTAGAAGTTTAGTTGTTAGTGAGGCAATCGAATGACTAAATACTTGGACTACTTTTGAGTTTGGATTATAGGGAGGTGTATATCTACTTTATTCACTTGACCCAACTTCAAGTACGTTAGTTGCTACTTGAAGAGATTCCTACGAAATTTTGAATGTCAAGAACTTAATTGTTATATTTGTAAAAATATTAGGACGAAATTGTTTTTGAGCAAAACATGAGTGCCAACAACGTTAGAAGAGGCTTAGGATGAGAAAAGAAATGTTATCAGAGGTAGACTTTATTATAATTAAAACCCTTGTTACAAGGAGCGAGGTTAGCCTTTTCGAGATCCCACATTAGTTGGAGAGGGGAACGAAGCATTCCTTATAAGAGTGTGGAAAAGTCTCCCTAGCAAACACGTTTTAAAACTGTGAGGCTGACGACGATACGTAACGAGCCAAAGTGGACAATATTTGCTAGCGATGGGCTTAGGTTGTTACAAATAGTATAAGAGCCAGACATCGGGCGTTGTGCCAACAAGGACGCTGGATCTCCAAGGGGGGTGGATTGTGAGATCCCACATCGGTTGGAGAGGGAAACGAAATATTCTTTATAAGGGTGTGAAAATCTCTCCCTAGCAGACGTGTTTTAAAACCATGAGGTTGACGGCGATGTGTAAGAAGTCAAAGTGGACAATATTTGCTAGTAGTGAGCTTAGGCTGTTATAGCTTTAGGATGGACGAAGTCTCCCCAAAAGATTAGTAGGGTAGATCGGGAGCATTGTACAAGGAGTCAAGTCATGTGATACCTTGATTACAAAAAATATGAAGATTTCATCATGAGTTAGATGCAGTTAGTACATTTCTTCTCAAACTAAAAGGAAAAAACTTGAGATGATATTATGTTCTTGGCAACTTTAAAGGTGATTCAAAAGATGCCTCGCTTTTATAAAAGAATATCCAATATTTTATGACTAATCTGATGAGCTGCCGTTCCTTTGAGCCCCAACTGATTTCATCATAGAAGCAAACGATGGTTTACAGAGAATCACTTAGATGATCAAGTGATATTCGATTCGTAAACAATTTTGTTTTTCTTCGATTCTGTTTTCGCTAACCAAATGCTACTCTACTCCTTGATCTAATGCTTATACAGGTTTTTCCATCTCTGGTATTATCCACAAGCGAATGTCGAGATCTTTGGTGAGGTAAGTGATGAAGGCACATATCAGCAAGTGATGGGAAATTCATGAGTATAAATCCTGGAAAGTTTTAAAGCTTGCTTTTGTTTAATGCAGGGGCTAATCAGCTGGACAATCACATGCTATTTTGTATACACTCCATTCTTGATTAATTTATCGAGGTGGCTCAAGTCTGTGTTGGATTCTGTTGCTGTAAAAAAGGATGGGTCTGCTTAATCAAATGTTTTTCTGCCTAATAGATTGGAAGGTTGGAGCTGGGAAGGTAAATAATTAATTTTGATGACTTGTCATTTTTATTTCTGTTTGAAGATTATTTTCTGTTTTTATAGGAAAAATCCATTAAATTGAATAGAAATTCAAATTTGGATTTCAGTAAGAGAGGAAATTAACTAAATTTTGTGTTTGTAGGGTTAGGAATTACGACTCTTTACAATGGTATGATATTGTCCACTTTGAGCCTAAGCTCTCATGACTTTGCTTTGGGCTTCCCCAAAAGACCTCATATCAATGGAGATGTATTTCCTTACTTTAGAACCCCATGATCATTCCCTAAATTAGCCAATATAGGACTCCCTTCCAATAATCCTTAACAATTTTCCCTCGAACAAACTACACTATGGAGCCTCCCTTTAATTGAGGCTCGACTCCTTCTCTAAGCCCTCAAACAAAGTAGAACCTTTGTTCGATACTTTCGTCACTTTTGATTACACCTTCGAGGTTCACAATTCTTTGTTCGACATTTGAGCATTCTATTGACATGACTAAGTTTAGAGCATGACTTTGATACCATGTTAGGATTCACGATTCTCCACAATAGTATGATATTGTCCACTTTGAACCTAAGCTCTCATGGCTTTGCTTTGGGCTTTCCTTAACTCCTCGTACCAATGGAGATGTATTTCTTTACTTATAAACTCATGATCCTTCCTTAAGTTAGGCAACGTGGAACTCCCTCCCAACAATCCTCTAACAAGTAGGAGACAATAAACTTCTAATTTCAAGCCCGGTAAGTTCAATCAAAAGTTGAAGAAGTAATTAAACTAGAAATTTAAGGATTTATTAGACATTTTATAAAATTGCAAGACATATTTAACACACATTTTGCGGTATAACTTCATTTCTACGATGCTTTCTATTCAAAATCCATAATGCAAAGACTCTGCGACCGAAGAATGTGTATTATAAACAACCAATTTGACTTGCCCACCATTAAGATTCTAGGGTTTTGTGAGAGGCCTAAATAAATGCCCAACCATTGGAGTTCATTCACATGCACCATTTTCTGAAACGAACTCCCAAATCTTATCTTCTTGAAGCCAAGTTGGGTAATAGTACTTCACTCAAATGGCTTGGGGCAATTAATATTATTAGCTCATGTGCAGTTACAGGCCATTTTCATACAAAAATAGCTACGCTCTTCATTGCCTTTCTGTTCTGCGTCCTTATTATTCCTTTTATATTGGTTTGATTCAGAAGCAAGAAAGTGGGTGTGAGTTAAATTCCACCTGCCAATAACTTAGGGTAAGTTTCATTTTGATTCATTTATTGCCCATTTGCATTAGTTGTGAGCTTTCTGCTGCTGATGCCTATGTGGGGAACGTTGGATGTCTATCATACAAAAAAAATCTCCTTTCTATTAGTACTTTTGGGTTTTGTGATGCTCGTCATCGTGTTGAATATACTTTGGATTCTTGAGTGTATCATTTGAGGACAAATTGATTAATTTTTACGAGTTTTCTGATCTTACGATTTGAATTTGACTTCTTATATTGTAGACCTAATAGGCATTGAAACTGAGGCCTGAAATCAATGCTCGAACTAGGATAACAATAGGTGAAGGTAGACATTTGAACAACTTAACCTCTCGATCATAAGAATATATTTTAACTAATTGAATTATGTTTTGACACGTATTTAATTGTATTAGCGACCTTTTATAGGAAGTAAATCTTTCTACTTTTTTTTGTTGCTTACGTGGTAATAAAGTTTTCTTGGAAATAAATAATTATAGTTTTTATTGCTTACGTGGCAATATATTTATTTTATTTTCCTTTGTTTCATAGGTGACAACACATACTTTTGGATGGTAAGGACAAAACTATAACTTGAAACTTTACTTTTTCTTTGTTTGGGATTGTTCCTTTTTATCTCTTCAAATGTCAAATATTTATTAATGAGATGAAAAAATAGGAGAGAGAAAAAGTTTTTTTTCATAGTAATTGTTTGTTCATAATGACTTATTTACTCACATTCTTTTTAACTCTATTAGAAATAAAATTATTTTTCAAAATTTTCAAGCTTTAAATATAGGAAGAAAAAAATAGGCGTTTTGCCACATGCTAGCTTTTGATTGGTTAATATGCCACGCCCACGTCACCATATATTTGGTCTTTTTTGCAAAATTGCCCCACTTTATTTATTTATTTATTTAAAATGGACTTATAAATGAGCTAACTACATATGCTATTAAATAAAGAAAACAACTTAATTTTTAATTTGATAAATAATTTATTATAAAAAAAACACGTAGCATGCAGTTTGACAATGAGTTTTGCCAATTAGTTGTCATTCTTTGATTAAAATTGACTTTTTTTTTTCTCCATCGTTAATTTTACCCAACAAAATCGGCTTCAACAGCTATAGCTCTCATGATTTATTATTATTTAGTTTTATTTACTAAAATCAAATTTGTAGTTCCAACTTCCACTTACTAACCACTATTGTTTTTATTCATGGATTGAACTACCTTTTATAGTTTGTTTTCATTTTTGATATTTTTAGCTCGAGTTTCTATGTTATTTTTATCGGGTTTTAGCGTATTAATTTTATGTTAGAAGGGAGTTACATGCTAAATTTTATAACGCTCGTCTGCTAACTAATTTTGTAAATAAAGATGTGATAACTTACCATATAAGAGGAAGATCGAGCATAGATTTAGTCTAGTGGGCAATATTGATGATAAAAGAAAATAATGTAAAATTAAAACATTTCACATCACACCACTAATTTGTTCGTTTAGGGTTGAAAATCAAAATCGAAGTTTTAATTTGAATCAAGTCAACCATCTATTATTTTATTCAATTGCTTGCAAACGATATTATTGAAACTTCTACATGTTTATCGTAACTTTCTCACATACACGTTCAGACACTTGGTATCTTATCATCTATATCACGCTTAGACGGTTCTTATTTGTGAGGTAAAATTCAATTAATTTAATTATAAATTTCAATTAGGAGGTCAGAAGTTTGAATTTTTCTATCGAATAGTACCAAATTAAAATTTTTTATAATAAAAATTAAAAATATTGGTTTAAATAGAAAATAATTTAAAAATATCTAAAGTTAAATTACTAAAATGACCCGCCCCATTAAGCCATTACAAAAGCGGTCATATTTAACCGTTGAACCAATGCTTTGAAATTCATTATTTTGATTTTTCTCTTTCAATTCTTGCAAGTCCAATCAATGATTAAAAAAAAAAAAAAATATATATATATATAATAATAATAAAAAATATTTTAATAAAATTCAATATTGATTATTATTTTAAAGTTTTTTTTTCAATTAGTGCAAGTTCAGTCTAATATAATAATAATAATAATAATACTATTATTATTATTATAGATGAAACAGTTTATTTTAATTTTCTCTATCAAATTCGAGAGTTATTAATATGATAGATATATTTAAACAAATATTTTAAACAAAAACAAATTAATAAATATTTTATATATTTAAATAAAGTAAAATTATATTATAATTTATCTTTTTTTAATATTTGATTTCTTTTTATCAAGGTAGAAATATCCATATTTAAATGGAAATTTAATCTCTATTTTTATTGAAGAAAAAAAAAACACTCATAATTTAATATTGGGAATGGTGAGAAGCACCCACATTTAATGCTTTCAAGATTGAAGTAGGTGAGGCATAAATGAAATTTCTCCCCCGCTATTTTTCCAACGGTGATACATAAATGAATTGAAATTACATCTAAATGAAAGAGATCCTAAAAAATATTTGAAACAATGTAAAGTTACTCAGAGCAATTTTATGTACCTCGACTTAATATTTGTAAAAACGCAATGTAGAAAATTTGAAACAATGTAATATTTGAAACGATGTAGAAAATTTCGGAACATATAATAATGATGTTTAACAATAAGATGTTTTGATAAATGTGTTGGGAAATTTGGTATTCGATAATGCAGCTGATTTCAACAAACGCATTAACATCTCTGCCCTTTCTGTTCCGTTTCCCCTTATAATCAGCTCACGCCAACACCTCTCTTGTATTGCATGATTTTCTTCCTTCTCTGCTGCTCTGCTCATTCCACTGTAAGTCCTCTTTCTTTTTAATGTTTTTCTGCTTTTTTTGATGAATTTGGAAGTGGGTTTTTGATCTTCTACCTGTTTGCTCCATTTTTATGGCTGTTTCCTTCTCACCATTGCTAAATATCAGCAATGTTCTTGAAAAACAAGCTCTGTTTTCTTCATTTTCGCTCTTTTTTGCTCTTTTCCTCTCTTTTTATGTTTGTTTTGATGAATTTGGAAGTGGGGTTTTGATGTTCTACCTGTTTGCTCCATTTCCATGCCTGTTTTCTTCTCACCATCGCTAAATATCAACAATGTTCTTGAAAAACAAGCTCTGTTTTCTTCATTTTCGCTCTTTTTTGCTCTTTTCCTCACTTTTTCTGTTTATTTTGATGATTTTGGAAGTGGGGTTTTGATGTTCTACCTGTTTGCTCCATTTCCATGCCTGTTTTCTTCTCACCATTGCTAAATATCAGCAATGTTCTTGAAAAACAACCTCTGTTTTCTTCATTTTCTCTCTTTTTCTGTTTATTTTGATGAATTTGGAAGTGGATTTTTGATGTTCTACCTGTTTGCTCCATTTCCATGCCTGTTTTCTTCTCACCATTGCTAAATATCAGCAATGTTCTTGAAAAACAACCTCTGTTTTCTTCATTTTCTCTCTTTTTCTGTTTATTTTGATATCAGCAATGTTCTTGAAAAACAACCTCTGTTTTCTTCATTTTCTCTCTTTTTCTGTTTATTTTGATGAATTTGGAAGTGGATTTTTGATGTTCTACCTGTTTTCATTTTCTCTCTTTTTCTGTTTATTTTGATGAATTTGGAAGTGGATTTTTGATGTTCTACCTGTTTGCTCCATTTCCATGCCTGTTTTCTTCTCACCATTGCTAAATATCAGCAATGTTCTTGAAAAACAACCTCTGTTTTCTTCATTTTCTCTCTTTTTCTGTTTATTTTGATATCAGCAATGTTCTTGAAAAACAACCTCTGTTTTCTTCATTTTCTCTCTTTTTCTGTTTATTTTGATGAATTTGGAAGTGGATTTTTGATGTTCTACCTGTTTTCATTTTCTCTCTTTTTCTGTTTATTTTGATGAATTTGGAAGTGGATTTTTGATGTTCTACCTGTTTTCTCCATTTCCATGCCTGTTTTCTTCTCACCATTGCTAAATATCAGCAATGTTCTTGAAAAACAACCTCTGTTTTCTTCATTTTCTCTCTTCTTCTGTTTATTTTGATGAATTTGGAAGTGGGTTTTTGATGTTCTACCTGTTTTCTCCATTTCCATGCCTGTTCTCTTCTCACCATTGCTAAATATCGGCAACGTTCTTGAAAAACAACCTCTATTTTCTTCCTCACTCTGTTTTTTCTTTCAAAACTTCATAAAGTTTTGGGCCTTCTTGTTTCTCTGAGCCCCCAATTGGAAGCATTTGGACATGGTGGTTGGCATCTCATTAATGGCCGCCTGCTGTCTTTTGATAGCATTGTACAACTTATATGTAGAACCTGTCCCTTGTAATTAATTTTGCTGAGAACAAAGAAAATTTCCATGAAAGTTGGGGTTAAATAGTGAGGCAATGCAGCAGGATTTACAGAACTGAAGAATGAAGAGTTTTTCGATCAAGGTCGAGGAAGGAATGGAAGGAAAAGACGGTAAACCGTCGGTCGGTCCGGTTTATCGCAATGTTCTTACAAAGGATGGCTTTCCTCCTCTATATGAAGATTTGAGCACAACTTGGGATATTTTCAGGTGCAGGGTAGTCGAGAGTATATGTCTTAACTAGTTGAACTATGCACGGATGGTTGTATTCTGTTCATGTTTTATTATCTTTGCAGTGTTTCAGCCAAAAAGTATGCTGGTAAGCGAATGCTCGGATGGCGAAAATTTGTGGAAGGGAAGGTGAATTCTCATAATCTTTGAAGAAAAAATGATAGAACTGTTCATGAACTTAAATGGTTTTCGTGATCGATCGATATTATGACGATTCTTTTCGGGTTCTTTGTTTTTGTCTTTGGTATTCAGCCTGGACCTTATATATGGAAAACTTACCAAGAAGTTTATGTTGATGTTCTTAACATTGGTTCTGCTCTACGAGCGGTTGGCGCCAAAGCGGTTAGCATACTTCGACGATTTCATGATTTTTCGATATGATATGGACCATATTGTAAGAACTGAGAAACAAAATACGCGTGACAGGGCTCTCGAATCGGGATTTATGGCGCGAATTGTCCTCAATGGATAATTGCTATGGAGGTTTAGCTGAAACATCCTTAAAATCTTGTCTGAATGTTTTATAAGCTGTAATAGTTTTTTGTCGTTTCAGTGTTGGTGATATCAGATAACTGATACTCTAAATGTTTTGTGTAGGCTTGCAATGCCCACAGTTTGGTTGCTGTGCCACTCTATGATACACTTGGTAAAGTACTCCTTTTCGGGCCATTTTCGATAAGGGTACCATCAATGGTTTTTTCGTTTCTCAAACGAGCACCATTGGGACGTTTTGGAAAGCTTGTTTCTCATTTTGGTCTCTTACTATATTCACTAGAAAGAAGCCCGAAGACAAACATAGGATCTAACAAGAGAACAAACATTACTCGGGATCTCTCAAGTCCTCCAAAAAGTCTATTATTTCTCTCTCCCGACACACCCCAAACAGAGCACGCCCCGAACTAGGACGTCGGTGTTGATAGAAGTAATCACAAATTGATTCCAAACCTTCTTGTTCTAGAGCCTCAAATTTGCTTGTAAAGCTTGCAAGCAGATCTTCTTCACTCTATCCACGCCCTCAAAGGCTTTCTTCAGTACCTCCCAAGCTTCCTAAGAAGACTTTACAGGGGTAACCACTCAAACGTCGCGTCATCTGCTCCTTGGTAGATTGTGAATAACGCCTTCTTCTCCTTCTCCTTCTTCATCTTCATCTCCTCCTCCCGGAATCCATTCACCACCGTGTCCTATGCTCCCCTTCTTTGTGGCTCACCCGTACTACTTTCCATAGGGTTCACCCATCTTAAAACCAGCACTACAAGAGACAATAAGTGTGAGATCCCTGTTGGGAAGGAGAACGAAACATTCTTTATAAGGGTGTAGAAACCTCTCCCTAGCAGACGCGTTTTAGAAACTTTGAGAGGAAACCCGAAAGAAAAAACCCGAGTAGGACAATATCTACTAGTAGTGGGCTTGGACCGTTACTTAAGAGTTTGAACTTAGAACCAAGAGAGCGTCTTCAAGCATTCAAAGCTCTTTGTAAGTTATAATGATTCTTAAACTAAATGAATTGCAGGACATGGAGCTGTTAATTATATTATAGAACACGCAGAGATTGATATCATTTTCATCCAAGATAAGAAAGCAAAAGAGGTAAGAACTGCTTTCCTGTTAGTAAAGTATACAACAAACAAAGGGACACACTTAGAAATGGTTGAAATTCTCTGCTTGTTTTGCAGCTACTAAGTTCTGGAAGCACAAATCCTAAGAGGCTGAAAGGTAAGAACGACGAGACAAGACGGTTTTCGAGCAACCGATAAACCAATTTACCGAGTTCAATTCCTTTTGCAGTGATCATCTGCTTTACATCACTGAAAGGGGAAGAAAAGACCTCAGCAGTAGGCAACGGGATAAAACCATACTCGTGGGACGAGTTCCTTCGCTTGGTCCGTTTTAAGTCTGTTTTATCATCCTTCTTTACGTGTTGTAGTTGATACGTGAATCTATTTTGAATCAGGGAAAAGAAGATCCATTCGAGATCGTTCCTCCACGACCTTTCGACGTTTGCACGATTATGTACACAAGTGGAACGAGTGGAACTCCCAAAGGCGTCGTGTTAACACATGAAACGATCACAACGTTTATTAGAGGAGTTGATGTCTTCATGGAGCAATTTGAAGACAAGGTAGATAAGTCCCTTTGTTTCTTTTCTAGCTCAAGCTTTTCTTTGTTTATGACGTTAAACTTTTCGTCCGTAGATGACAGAGGACGACGTGTATCTATCTTTCCTACCGCTTGCTCATATCCTCGACCGTACGGTCGAGGAATATTTCTTTCGTAACGGCGCATCCGTTGGCTACTACCACGGGGTATTGTATTCTTCATGACCTAATAAACTTGACTCAGTAGAATAAGATACAATCGTGCGATACATCCAACATTAACATCCTCTAGACCTTTGATATGTAGGATCTCGATGCGATAAAAGATGATCTAATGGAACTAAAGCCGACGCTTTTGGTTGGCGTACCTCGAGTCTTCGAAAAAATTCACGAAGGCATGAAGAACGTTGCTCGTCGTTTGTAATTCGATTGCTATTAACTCGTTAATCCATGGCCTTGTTAACATGGCAAACCAAATCTGTATTATAGGAATCAAGGAAGCTGTTCAAGTACTCAATCCAGTGAGAAGGAAGGCATTTGATTTGCTCTACAAATAGTAAGTCAACCTTTTATCTCTATGTTCTTGTTCCTTTCATGATTCTTATAAGCTCAAATGCTGAACTTGCAGCAAACTTTCATGGATGAATAGCGGATACAAACAGAAGGACGCATCGCCATTGGCAGACTTTTTAGCGTTCAGGAAGGTCGACTCCTACTTTTCTTATCAGATTACACGTTCTCGTTTCGGGCTACCTTACGATCACTCTAAACTTCTATAAGTTCAGGTGAAAGCTAGATTAGGCGGTCGTCTTCGACTAATAATATCCGGGGGTGCAGCCTTGAGTGCCGAAGTTGAAGAGTTTCTAAGGGTCACATGTTGTGCTTTGTTCGTCCAAGGCTATGGTAAAACTATGGTTTTAATACTCGTATCTTTAGCACAATCCTATGTTTCAAGATTCTCCGTTCTTCATCACGATATGTTTAACGAGTTTCTCTCATCGTTGTTTGTGAATGTAATGATGTGGTACATATAGGATTGACTGAAACTTGTGGACCAACTACTGTTGGCTTTCCTGATGAAATGTGTATGCTTGGGAACGTTGGTGCTGTTACTCTATACAACGAGCTTCGCTTGGAAGAGGTTCCCGAGATGGGTTACGATCCGTTGGGGGATCGTCCATGTGGGGAAATATGTGTGAGAGGGAAGACTGTTTTCAATGAATACTACAAGAATCCGGAGTTAACGAAAGAATCGATCAAGGATGGTTGGTTTCATACAGGTGATTCGTCACGTCCTTCTGTTGTTCATGTCGAATAATTCATTGGTTCTTCGCTTATTTGTTCCATTCTTCTGCTACTTTAGGAGACATAGGAGAGATCTTTCCTAATGGGGTTGTGAAGATCATTGATAGGAAGAAGAATCTTATAAAACTATCCCAAGGAGAGTATATCGCGCTCGAGTACTTAGAAAACGTTTACTCTGTTACCCCGATCGTCGAAGATGTAAGTTTTAAATCGTGTTACTCTAAGCCTATGGGAACAGCTTTTGGTGACTTGAGTTTCTTTGATGTTGTTTTTTTTTTCCAAAGATATGGATATATGGGAACAGCTTCAAATCAAAACTGGTGGCAGTGGTGGTGCTACATGAGGAAAACACCAAGAAATGGGCAAATTCAAATGGTTTTTTGTGTTCTTTTTCTGAGCTTTGTTGTCTTGAACAGCTTAGACAATATGTTCTTTCTGAGCTCACTTCCACAGCTGAAAGGACCAAGGTACAATCACTCTCGGCTCTACTTCCTGTCGGATAAGTAGTATGGCTCCATGAATATCTGATCATGTTTTGTTTTTTTTCTTTTCGTATCACGTGAGATCTCATGTCGGTTGGAGAGGGAATGAAACATTTCTTATAAGAGTGTGGAAACCTCTCCCTAGAAAACGCGTTTTAAAACTTTGAGGGGAGGTCCAAAAGAGAAAACATAAAGAGGGTAATATCTGCTAGCGGTAGTCTTGGATTGTTACAAATGGTATCAGAGCTAGATACTGGGCAGTGTGCTAGCGACGATGCTAGCTCTCAAGGGGGGTGAATTGTGAGATCCCATATCGATTGGAGATGGGAACGAAACATTCCTTATAAGGACGTAGAAACCTCTCCCTAGCATACACATTTTAAAACCTTAAGGGAAAGCCCAGAAGAGAAAACCCAAAAAGCACAATATCTGCTAGCGGTGGACTTGGGTTGTTACAAATGGTATAAGAGCTAGACATTGGACGGTGTGCTAGCTAGGATGTTGGGCCCCCCAAGGGGGTGGATTTTGAAATCCCACCTCGATTGGAGAGAGAACGAAACATTCCTTATACAAGGGTGCGAAAACCTCTCCCTAGCATACGCGTTTTAAAACCTTGAGAGCAAGCCCAAAGAGGACAATATCTATTAACAGTGGGTTTGAGCTGGTACGTAACAAGACTATCGATCATCTTAACTCGACGTCTTTGGCTTGCACCAGTTGAAACGTTTTGAATATATCAAAGGAGTGGTGCTGGAATCGCGCCCGTTCGATATAGAAGACGAATTGGTCACGGCGACCTTGAAGAAGAAGAGAAACAATTTGGTCAAACACTATGAGGTTGTTGGTTGGAAACTTGTTTATTTTCCCACAGATCAGATTCTCCAAAACTGAGACTAATAAGGTGCCTTTTGTTGCAGAAGGAAATCAACGCAGAATATAAGAACTTGGAGGCCAAGAGGTGATGAAGTTTAAGAGCTCAGCTGATTCGTCTGAAGCATAGGTTAAAATCCACATGTTATAGTAATATAAACACCATCCCTTTCTTGGGAAATTATGTTGAAGTATATGTTACTTTTGAGACTGAGAATATACTTTTAGGTTGAATTTGTTTGGTACACAGTTGAGTTCACACAGCCTGGATTTTAAAAATTTTTAACAATTCGACCCGACCGACCCAAATGATAGTTAAGCTTACTATTATCTGATATTGTCCGCTTTGACCTGTAACGTATCGTAGATATTGTCCATTTTGGCCCATTACGTATTATTGTTAGTCTCACAATTTTAAAATGCATCTGCTAGGGAAAAGTTTTCACACCTCTATAAGATATGCTTAGTTCCCTTTCCATCCGACATGAGATCTCACAATCCACTCCTTAGGGGTCCAGCGTCTTTGTTGGCAAATTACCCAATGTCTGGCTCTCATGACATTTGTAATAGCTCAAGCCCACCACTAGCAAATATTGTCATCTCACAATCCACTTCCCTTGGGGCCTAGAGTCCTTGCCGATAAATTGCTCGATGTCTAGCTCTAATGCCATTTGTAATCCACTCTCCTTGAAGGCCCAACGCCCTCGCTGGCAAATCACCCAGTGTTTGGCTCTGATGCTATTTGTAATAGCACAAATCCAAATATTATTCACTTTGGTCCGTTATATATCATCATCAACCTCACGATTTTAAAACGCATCTACTAAGAAAATGTTTCCACGCCCCTATAAGAAATGTTTCATTAGATCTCATTGCTAATACAAAGTAATCTTTTAAAAACGAAAATCAGAAAGAACATCTAATGAAATATGCATTTAAAGAATGGGTTTCAGATGGCATTACACATGAGAAAAATAAAAGATGAAATTGCCTCTTCATATTTATACCAAGCACCACCAATTTTTGGAAGCCCATATGACTAAGTTCAAAGTTCTGGTAAGAGCATGCCAATTTAGCTATAACAAAACTATATGAATCAATCAAAAGTGAACTATCTGTACAAGAACAAACCCAGCAAAAGCATCAAAACGTTCGAGTCCTTCGCATATTTACGGATACCAACATGATCTAAAGCATTCAATCAAGTTATAAGGTATATGAAAATTTCAGTGTAAAGGAGCTGGCGATGTCTTACCAGATTAGTGACACTAAACTTCAGTATTCTAACTAAATTGCACAGACCTTCCCCCAAGATCTTCAGTTTTCAAGGAGTCGTTCTTCAAATCTTCCACTGAGCTCGCTTCTCCTGCAAAACTGCATCAGAACAATGGATTTAAGATGAAGAACACACAAAAATAAAGCATTTACTTAAATAAACCATAAAAGATCGAGCTACACTGACTCGAGAATGTGGGATTGCGGTACGTTAACGTTCGGGAAAGATTTAGACGAATGCTGAAGAGGTATCAAGCCTGCACTTCTGCTACTGGAAGGCACGGGAGACTCGAACATGATTGCACTACCATTAGCACTCATTCCTGCCAGGGAATTTACACAACATGAACAATTATCCTCATTTTTTTATCAATATCAATTTGAGAGCTTCTAGTGATTATAGTATTTGACATACCTTGAAAGATAATGACTACAAAGAAAAGCAATGTGATAAACAAAGCAGGTAAGTTGCTGTTGAATGAAGACGTTTTCTCGGCTTTCCTCTTCTTCAAAGCTTTTATTCTCTCGACCGCGGCACGCTTTTTCACTGCCAATTGAGTCATCTCTTTAACAAAGATTCTGTCAGCAGCATCCAATGATGGAACCCTTGGAGGTCGTGGTGGCTTGTGAAGCTTTCCATTGTTCTTAATTGTCTCTTTAATGTTCTTCTTCTTCTCTGCAAGAGCTCCGAGTTCTCGTCTCTTTTCTCCATCTAAACTCTTGTCTATCAACAACTCCACGTTCTCATCAACACCAAGCTTATCGAGCTTGGTGGAATTACTACTGGAAGCAAAGCTACACCCTCGATTTATAGATCCATCAGTGCACAGAAACCCACTCCGAAGCCTACTGATAGCTTTCCTAACATGTGGTTTCGATGTCGAGTCAGATTCACTGCTCAAATCATCTTCGCTAGTATAATCACCACCTTCAAGATCTATTTCAAACTCTCTATCTTCTGTAGCCATACAATCTAAACCACTCATGTAAAGAGGTTTTACTTCCCATTACGGCAGGGCATTCATTCTACCAAGATCCTGAAATGAAGGGGCCTTCTTTTCTTCTCATCTTCCTAACACTCTGGTGAACCTTTTAATTACAAAAAAGTAAATCCAAAACAATTAGCAATGGACCAAGTTACCAAAAAACAGAGAACCAACTTTTTTTCAGATTTTTATGTAGTGCAACCATGAACTTACTCATGAACTCTGAGCCTTGAGTCTATTTACCCTTGTCAATATCATCCCCAAACTTTGAATCATCAATTTTCTATGATCAATCGATATTATTAACCACAATAACTAAATAAAAGCATAATCCAAAGCTAAAAGGGCAAGAAGTTGAGGGACTGCTCTAACTTCATGAACTAAATCTATAATCTAAGCTTTAGATACATTAGCTACTTAATGTGCTTATGTGAGCAAATTTCGTTTCAAATTTATCTTTGTACACGTTCATACACTTCTGAAAACACCATATTCAATAGAACTCAACAACACAAATGAAATGCAAAAATTGAATCAAATACGTAGCGCAGATTGTTTCTCCTTCTGAATTCAGTCATACCAAAAATATTACACAATGAAAACTCCATAATCAATAGAACTCAACAGGGAAAATCCCTCTCCCCCAACATACATGCAATTGTAGTAGCAGGAAAAGGGTAGGGGAGTTCAAACCTTGACGAGAGAAAGAAGAACTCACCGACAAACAGTAAATCAATAAGAAGAAGCCATTTCTGCCATTTTGAAGCTGGAGTTCATGGAGAGATTCAACTGGCACACGAACAACAGAAAAAGATCTGGGGAACAAAAAAAAAAAAAAAAAAAAAAAAAAAAAAAAAAAAAAAAAA